TTTATTAGCCGTACGGAATAGAAGTCTCCTAAAATCCCGTTAGTACTAAGGAGTAAAAAGGCCGGCTACGCTGCCGGCTACGCTGCCGGCTACGCTACTAGCTACGCTGCTAGGTTTTTCAAAGAACTAAAAGAAGATAGACATTCCGGTTGATTTGTATTAGTTTAGATTTTTATAAAAAGAAAATAGGGAAAAATAAGGAAGGTTAAAGAGCCTAATAGTTATAGTTATAGGCACTATCCCTGTTTTCTAGAGCATATTATACACCTGCCTTCGCAACTCTACCTAATACTCCCTCTAAATATCCTTATACTCTACCTACTAAAAATTCAACTAGGTACCTAGACCTACAGCTACCTCTATATCTTTCACTATCTTCTATAGGTTGAAGGCCTCTTCTATAGCAGCCTCTACCTCTTTATATAATACGAAGTTACTACCTACCCTACCCTTTATATCTCCTAAATAACTAAGAGTTCTAAGGAACGAACTAGCATTCGGCCTTAGTATAGCGAGTAACTAGTAGAACGTTCTATAGAGCTGCCTTATAGCTCTTTTATATACTATGCCGATACCGAGGGAGGAGCTATCCTAGTACTTAATATTGTCGAATAGTTCGGTAGGAAAGTATATAAACTTCTTAAGGAGGAGGACTTCTAGGGAAATCGATAAGTTCTACCTAGATCTAGATAAAGACATTCTACTAAGCAGTTAGGGAATTGAACCGTAAACGAAAGGATAAAATTTATACCTAAGGAGTGCAGTTTCCGAACTAAACTATAATGCCTTGTATGTGTGTGTATATGCTTTTGATTAGTTAGTGCCCTTAGCTAATTGTCTATAGATTTAAGGTTATATAAGTACCTTTATACAACTACGTAGCCTAAGTAGGATTCGAAAATTCTATAAGTACTAAGGACTAAAAATGCCGGCTACGCTGCCGGCTACACTACTAAGTCTTACAAAGGGCTTGCTTAAAGCTACGTATACATTCGTACACTTCTTAAAAACCGATAAATTATATAGTTCGAACTAGCTACTTATATAGTTGCTTAGCAAACTAACCTAAACTAAACTAGAGTTTCGGCTTAGCAAACTAAACCAAACTAACCCGAACTACTACGGGGTCTAAGATTCCTATTCGTATATAAGGAAGGACGCTTAAACGCTTAAGTAGTAGTAGATACCTACCTTACCTACATTTAGAAGCTTTACGGTCTTCCGAATACTATTACTTCCGACCGCGGTACGTAGTTTATCTCTAAATTCTAGAACTGCTTATATAAGCGCCTATATATTAAGCGTAACCTATCGACCGCTCGTTACCTATAGACTAATAAACAAACTAAACGCTTAAATAAAGTTATCGAAGGATATCTCCGATTATATATAAACTACGAGTAAGACGACTAGAGCCTCTAGCTCCCTATCGCCGAATTTATAATAAATAACGTACTCTCTAAAACTACCGGATTGTTACCGTTCTAAGCTAGCTACGGTTACAATCCTCGTCTCGGAAGTAAATCTTTAACCCTACTAGAAGAAGATTTACCGTTAGATAATAATACTTAAGCCTAGATCGATTACCTATAGAGCCTCGAAATATATCTTATCGAATAGATACGGTATTAGTAGTCTCGTATAGAAGACTTAACTAACTAATACCGCCGACCTGCTCCTACCTATCGTATCGGTAATAAAGTCTTCCTATCGCTTAAAGGTATAAGTACGGATCGACCTAACGTTAAACTCGACGTTAAGAACTTAGGACCGTATAAGATTACTAAGGTAATATCGCCCTATACGTATTAACTAAAGCTGCCTAATTTAATACGTATCTATAACGTCTTCTATACTTCGTTGCTTATACTAGTACCTAAAATAGGCATACCTAGTTAACGATACGAGCTACCGCCGCTACTAGTTATCGACGGTAATAAGGAGTAGAAGGTAGAAAGAATACTAGATATAAAAGGCAAAGGAGATAATATATAGTACAAAGTAAAATAGATTAGATATAATAAACCGATATAGGAAGCCGCCGAGAACGCTACTAATACGTAAGAAGTAGTAAAGGACTATTATAAGCGCTACCCGCGTAAGCCGTAACTACGTATTATTAACTTAGCGATATTAATGCGACCGAGCGTACTATTATTAGTTGCTATAATCGTAATACTATATAAGCAACGAGTAGATAAAGCGCTATAGACGTCGCCTACGAAGGGGGGGAGTGCTATTACGATCTTAGCGACTTGTATATGTAATTCGAGGTTACGTAACTAAAGGTTATATAACTTGATGCCTAAGGCATCCGCCGAGTAGATAAAAGCCTCTTCCGCGAGAGAGCCTCTCTCTCTTTCTTCTTTAACTCGTTATTAATTTAGATAGCTATTTAATTAATATCTTAATATAGAGCTACCTTCTATAGTACTATCTATAGCTCTATATTCTTTACCTATATAGTCGCCTAGTAAAGACACTTTAATTAATCTACTATAGCTATTAGGTAGCTCTTATAAACCTCGTCGTTAGAAGCCTTTAATTAGTAAGCCTATAATATCTTCGAAACGCGCTCGTAGAAGGTTATATATAGATAGATAGATAGATATTTCATTTGCCTATTATAGTGCCTTTCGGCCTATATAGGTCTGTTTCTATATACTATTTTAGGTAGGAAACCAACTTAGTTAGTAAAAACCTCCCTCCTGTCCTATTTATAAGTGTTAATCTTCCTCGTTTCCTTGTTTTCCTTCCTCTAGGGTATACTAGTATTATAGTTGTTACCCTCTAACTACCTTGCCTACTGCCCTGCCCTTCTTTCCCCCTCTTCTTCCCTCCTTCTTATCTACTCCTTAGTTTCCCTTACTAGTGCGAATTGTTGTACAAATCCCTGTTTAATAATCTACTTTACTATCCTCTTTAGGTCTTCTTTGCTCTAGATTAGCTTGTCGTATTCCCTTTCCCTTACTTTTAGTCTCTAATTACTTCTGCCTTCTAACTATTAAGGGCAGACTAGCAGTATATACTTAGGGTTCTAAGATTGGTAGCTATATTAGTAAGCTCTGCTTTCAATTCCTAGGACGTTTCTTCTAAATAGGTAAGATCTAAGTCTAATGTATTTAGATCTGATTTAGATAGCTAGGCTTGCCTCGGCCCTGTTTAGGTCCTTATAGAGCTAGTAGTTGTGTTAACTAAATTTGATTAGTGCCTTTAGGGTTCCTAGTCTAACTTGTGTTTTATTCTATTCCTACTCCTATAGGTATCTAGCAATTGACTCTACTAGGCTTTGTTTCTCTCCCTTTAGCTTGTCTTCCTTTAGCCTTATATTTAGTCCCTAAAGCTCTTTCTCTAGCATTTCTCTTATTAAGACTCTATATTGCTCTAGGTCTTTAACTTTCTAGGGAGTTATTTGTAGTCTATCTCGCTTCCTAGTCCTAATATACTAGGCTTTTATCTTGTCTAGTGCCTTTTAGATAGTCTGTTAGGCTAGGTATTCTATTGTCTTTGCTATATATTAGTGTCTTAGTCCCTTAAAGTATTGTTTAACTAGTAGGATCCCTAATTCCATTTCTACTACCCTTGTTAGTGTAGTTTTGTATACTCCTAGGATTTTCTTTAGGCTTTAGGTTTAGGACCTGCTAACTAGTTGCTTAATCCTCTTTAGTGTTTTCTTCTAGGCTGTCTATATCTATACTCTATATAGCATTGCTAGCTTAACAATTGCTTTATATATAACTTTAGCTTTCTCGAATGTAGCCCCCTATATAGAGGCTATAAGCCTATTAATAGATTGTATACTAGTATCTGCCCTCTACTTTGCCTTCTTTACTTATAGTCCCTAATTTAGTTTTAGATCTAGCTAGATCCCTAGTACCCTAAGCTCTACTAATAGTTAGGTTTCAAAGCCTTAGATAGTAATTAATTGCTTTATATTATAGGTTGATTTAGCCTTGCTAAAGTAGATAAGCTAGTACTTTTCTAAGGCGAATTTTGCTCTATACCTCCTTACCTATTTTTTATACTCCTAGTACTTCTCTTCTAGGATCTTGTAGTTAGTTAAACTTAGTTTCTATTGTCTTAGACTAGGCTAGGATGTTTGTGTTATCTACAAACCCTAATGCTAATGTGTTTTTTAATTCTAGGAGTAGGAGTAGGTCTACTATAAAGATAAGGAAGAGGATTAGGGAGAGTATTAATCCTTAGGGGATTCCCTTTTTAGTTAGTATTAGGTCTGATTTGAATTTGCCTAGAATAAGCTATATTAATCTTTCCTATAGGAAGGACTAGATAAATTAGACTATCTAGTTTAGTATAGCTTTCTATTTAAGTATATATAGGAGCCTTTTATAGGAGACATTGTTAAAGGCTCCTAAGATATCGAGGGAGAGGAGGGTTACTACCTAGTTTTAACTATAGTACTAGATATACTTAATCTGTTTTATAATTAGTTCTATAGCTATTAGTGTTAACCTCTTCTTTCTTCCTCCTATCGAAGGTTATATATAGGTATACTACCTAAACCGTACCGGATAGATTAATCCTCTCGTATACTATCTCCTATACTAATTAGACTACTAAAACGACGGATCTAAGGAGAGGTTGTCGCTTCTAAGCGGTAGAAGTAGTAGTACTAAGGTGTAGGCGTAGACTTAGTCGTTTTCGAGCGATTACGGCTGTTCGGAACGGTAGAAATCCGAGGTAATTAGGTTGCACAAGGGGTGTTTGCAGTACCCCGATTTGTACACTAATTTGCGTGGTTTTAGGGCACTTTGCAGGGGCTTATGGAACCCTCGGGGTGTGCTGAAGCTACTTTGAATTTAACTTCTTGGTCAGTATACGTGGACCTTGAGATGGTCTCACACAGGGTCTGCAAGGGTGTCGAGAGTGATGTCTAGGGTACCTTAGCACTACATACATACATACCAGAGCTTGCGTCAGTAGTCGTGTGATGGAATTGAACTGCTGACTAGACGGGAACGTGTCGCAGCGGCCGGGGTATTACACAAAATGCTCGTGATTCGTGCTCTTGGGCTGTGTACTGCTTCAATAAAGTACAAGAAAGCAAGCATATGGTGGCATTCTAGCCTGCAGCTCGTTTTCGCTTTTGCCCAAGAAAAATGTCAACGCCAAAGCACCCGCTAGCTGAATGACGACAAGCGTGTCTGCTCTACCGCTTCTTCCCCTTCGACTTCGACTTGCGGTCCTCTTCGTCGTGTCCGCCCTCACGATCCTTCTTCGCGGCCTTCTTCTCCAGTTCATCCCAGTCTTCGCCCTCGTCCTCCTCGGACATGTCCTCATCAGACGCCTCAGCCGAAGCATCGTCGTCAAAGTCGGATTCATCCTCAGAGCTCTCCTCTGATGCGAGATCCTCCTCGGAGACTTCAAACGCCGACTCTTCCGACTCCTCCTCGGCACCTTCGTCGTCCGACTCTTGACCAAGGAAGGACCAGCCGCCGTCTTTGAAGAAAGTGTGAGGGTCCTGAATGACAGTCTTCATGATCGTTGCCCAGTTGAGGTTGAGCGGGCCTTCTGAGAATGGAATGTCGACGCTGTCGAGCCAGTCTCGCACGCCATCAAGCGCCTCGACTGGAATGGTGTTGATGTGGGCCGGCGGTCGGGTGAAGTCTTTGAAGACAACGACCATGTCAAACTGCTTGAGACCGAATTGAACACGTTCCAAGTGCACGATTTCGATGTCGTTGAGTGTGATGACCATGAATGGAGGCTCGGTGAGCTGCACCAGACAGTCTGCCGTGGGCTGGACGAGCACGGAAGATCTGCTTGGTACACCATTGAAGCCAAGGTCGCGGAAAGGAATATCGACCGAGACTCCCTCGCTCTTTCCTGCATCGGCAATCTTCTCACAGAAGTTTTTGAACTCCTTGTCGAGTTGTGCTCGTCGTCTCTTTTCCTCCTGTTCTGCCTCGAATTCTTCCTCGTCACCGTAGCGGTGCTTGCGCTTGCGGTTTCCAGTCTCGTCGAATTGCATCTCGGTGGCCTCGCGGTAGAACTGCACATCCTTGGTCTTCTTCTTGCCAATGATGATAGGATTGATCAAGTGGAGGTGGATGATCACGATCAGCTCACCAGCACAAGGCTGGAAGAACAAGTGCTTGACGTTGCTGAACAGAATATCGATCTTTTGGTTGCCGAGGTGGTTGTAGCGGAGACCATTCTGGTGAATCTCTACAGCACCGCCGACTCGCTTGCTCTCCATCGCCGGACGCATGTAGATGTTATCGAGTCTGTGTGGCCGACGATTTCTTATTTCGACAAGCTTGTCTTGCTCAACGACATCTTCCATGTCTTTCTTCTCCTGCTCCTTGCGGACCGCGGCCTTCTTCATTTCGGTGATTTGTGAAGAGATATCATCCATGCGTTCGGACTCCTTGTTCCTGAACGTCAATGATCGAATGAATTGTGCAGTGGGATCCTCAAAGGGCTGGTCATCTCTCCTGCCAACACCCTGACCTGGTGACAAGAAATTGATACGCAAGTACGTGAACCCAGCTTCTGTGCTCGTCGTGGCATTCTTGATGGTGTTAATGTGGAAAGGCACCGGTCGTCCCATGATTGGAAGAATGATGGTGGAGTTCTTCTGGTCCACGAGAATAGTCAGGTCCTTTACGCGATTGGGGAATTGTGCATCGCGCTTGTAGGATTCGAAGCGCTTGAACTTCTTCTCCTCAGTCCCATTGAGGTTGCCGTGACCCTGTTGGTACTTCTCCAACCCCTCCTTCTGCTTCTTGTCGTGGATCTCTTTTTGATGTGATCGGCGTGCAGCTTCCTTCTCCTCGTTCGCCGTCGTCCCGCCCTGTGCTCGCAATCGCGTCTTTGTTATATTCGACGATGCCACAGCGCCGACACGTGGGTCCTTCTTCGCCTTGGGCTTCTTCTCTTCTTCTGACTCGTCGTTGAAGAAAAAGGATGCGCTCTCCATATCACGAGGAGCGTCCTTGGTGAAGCAGTAAGCTTCGTTGCCGCTGGTCACACGAACAGTGTCGCTGAGCATGAGAGAGTATGTTCCGTCTCGCTTCTTATCCTTTGGACTTGGATTTTCGAGATTGGAGAATCCGGTGGTGATCGTAAAAGTCATGCCATCCTTCAGTGTTCGCGTGTTCTTGGCATTCAGATTGAGGGTGCTGTCCTTCGCCTCGATACCAATGCCTGCTCCTACGCTCTTGACAAAATTCTCAACGAGCTCGGGCTTCTTGGCCTTGATCACGCCGATTGCTTTGGCGTAGACATCCTTCGCGATCACGCCATCTCGCATCTCCTTGATGATTGTCTCGTGCACGGTCAAGAGCAGCTTGTACATGCTTTCTTGCTGCTTGTTCGGCTCCACGAGATATGTTCTTGCGATCATTGATGCGTATGTTTGATATCGCAGACCCAGCGCTGAGATGATCACGCCTGGCTGGTGCAGATTGTTGTCGTCGGGCTCATTTTGGAGCTTCAAGTCGAAGTTGCCTCCGCTCTGTACGACTGGCGACACGCTCCAATCCAGCTGCATTGAGTCGAACTTGCCAACGCCCTTCATGCCGCGGAAGAACTTTTCATCATCCAGCTTATTGGAGACCTTCTGGGATAGAGCCTTGTGGGTGATCTTCTTCTCCTTGTCGAGGATGTCGGACATAGTCTCCACAAAGTAGTCCTTCATCACGTAGGCAGAAGCGCTTGAAGCATTTCTGATCGCGCGAAGCTCGTTCTCGTCCTTGACAGCCATGGCAGTCGACAGAGCGATGCTGATGTCAACCTCCTCGATCTCCTTGCTGATGTCGCCGAATGCGCTCTTCCACTCCGCCACAAAAGGTCCGGTCGACTGGTCCTTGGCGATAGTGCCCACCTTCTTGCCTGCGTTCTTGATAATGTCGTTGATGCGCTCAAATTGTTTGGCGTTCTCTTCGGCATCCTTGCTTCGCACAATGATCTCGACTGGGGTCTTGCCGTCTTTTAGAGCCTCGAGGTATTGCGCCTTCTTCTTAGTGGTGACAATGTACATGGCCTCGAGCGTGATCAGAAACAGCGTTGCTGGAAACTCGTAGCCGAGCAGCCAAAACTGCATGCTGTTTGCCTTGTAGAAGACGCCATCTTGGTCGCTCTTGCCAACGACGACAACAATACTGCCGACGTCGCCATACAGGGCGTTGCCACCGCGCTTATCTGCCTTCCACGCTGTAATCAGATTCGACAGGCGGGTGTGGAATTGCGTCTTGTCGATACTGACTTCGTCCGCCATCGTCGCGATTGTTGATGTTGATGCCGCTGGATGATGTATTGGCGTGCCAGGCGGCGGCGGAAAAGGCGATGGGCAGAAGACAGGTGGGTGTCGCTGGATGCGCGACAGTGATGAAGGTCGCGTAGAAACGCGAGCCGGAAGTGTCTGTGCTTAGGCAGCAGCTCACGTGATAGCAGTGGGATCACTTCTTAACAGCTCACCTTGTGATCGCACCTTCACTTCCGTCTTCACATGTCGTCCATCTCTCCTTTCACGATGGCATCGTCTCGGTCAGCATCATGAGTTGGCACATACAGAACTTCAGAACAGGAGATGAATGACGGCAGTGATGATGGCGTCGCCCAAGCTGCTGCACTCCGCAGTGAAGGCGAGTATCACGCAGCTAAGAAGAAGAAACAGAAGAAAGATGCCCAGACCGGCTTTACAGCTGCTACTTCGCGTGCCATAATGTCAAGAATGCTTACATTCTACTTTCGAGCTCCGATCAAGGCTTTTTTCAGACCGCGTATAGAGTGAGTGAAAATCACCAAAGTTCTCGATGTCCAAGCGGAGGCTGATGTGGTGCCAGCTATATGGTATGTCTGGGATCATCGTGTCCTTCTCTGATCTAGACTGATCATACGTAGGGATATGCAAGAGCCATCAATCCAAGCGTCGTTGCTGGCGAAGCATGGTCCTGGAGAATGACCTCGCCTGCTTTGCTCTGGAGTGCTGTTCGACAGCATGGCTGGAGCTTTCTTCCAAATCATGTCCTGCCGCCTTTGATAGCAAATACTGCTGTTGGCGCGGTGCTATATACGTCCTACTTGCATACACTGGGTCAACTACACGAACCGTCGTCCCGCTCGACCAAACATGTATATCCACCTCCTTCTTGGGCGACAGCATTCTCCGCCGGCTGTGTTGCAGGCTCTTTCCAATCCGTGCTTGCAGCGCCCCTCGATGCTTTACAAGTCCGCTTCCAGTCGTCAGAAATGCTAGCTGGAAAGTATGACAACATGTGGCAGTACGCCTTGCGCAAGACACGAGAGATTGGGCCACGAGGCATCTATGCGGGCTGGACTCTGTCATTCGTTCGTGATGCGCTTGGTGCTGGAGTGTTCTTTGCAACATTTGAGTCTATCAAGTCGCAATGCTTTTATGGCTTCGTATCGCGATACTACGGCTCCTGGTCGAAATTGTCTGACAGGCAGCGAGAATCCATATCAACGCAGCAGCTGTCCAGCTCAGATCGGCCAGTCATTCGTCCACATTATTTGGTCGAACCAATGTTCTTGGGTATAGCTGGCGTTGTTGCATCCGTTGCGCAGTCACTTGTTCACCATCCTCTGGCGCGCATTCAAGAAATCCACTATGGCAGATTAGAATGGATCGATAGCCATGACCATGCAAAACCCGGACAGCCCAAGATGCGCGCACTCAAGCTATATGCAGCGGCGTATCGGAAGACTTTCAGGCATGTCTTAGCCGTGGCACGGCGACACGGCGGTGTTCAACGCTGGCTGTACCGAGACTTCTTCATGTCCACACTGCGACAGGTTCCTAGCACAAGTATGGGACTCATTGTCTTTGAGGTGTTGCGACGTAAGTATGGCAGTGACGATGACGCCATAACGATTCCGAAGGATGGCTACGATATACTATTGGTATGATCACTCTGACAACATAATTCTCTCCTCTGAAAGATACTCCACTCTGCGAGCAACGAAGACTGCTCTTTGAGTCGCTGTGCACAGTTATCGGTGGCGTGAAAGGGGCATCTTCAAAAGACCTTCAACACATGAATGCTGGGAAGTTTGCAGACTGGTTACGTCTGAGATCGGTCTTGCGGCATTTGGACGCATGATCTGTCGTCTGTCAATTCCGGACTGCGGCAATAGCTACCATTCTGGAACAAGAGTCTCCAGTGGAAGCACCTGTCACCTTGCAATTCGGAGTAGACGATATCAAGCTGAGAGCACTGGCTGGAATTATCTACGGAACGCCTGACTACTGGATCGAAAGGTGCCGTAGAGCATAGTGAAGCTGACCAGATTTAACAAGCCGACTCCTTGTTCAAGACATCAGGCACTTCCGCCCTCTTGTTGACTTCATACTTCTCCCCAAACCTATCCAGCAAAACCAAAGCATCCCTCACCATGGCAGAATCCAAGTACGACCTCACTTCCACAATCATACCTTCTTCGTCAAAACGACAGCACCAAGCATAACAATTCTCGAAGTTGAAGCCTGTCGACGTGTGTTTAGCCACCAGACTCCATTCTCTCGTAAGTGTATAAATATAAAATCTGCCTCTTACCATTAATCCCACTCCCCTTCGCCACCATTTCAACCGTACACCACGGACTCTCTTCTCCTCCACTTATAACATTCCTGACTGCGAGTTTTATACCTGGAGGTTTCATCGCTTTCTCGAGTCTTTCCCAGACTTTGGCTTGGACCTCCTGCTTGGATGTGTAGTGGCCTGCACAATGGTGGGTTCCCATTATTGTCCAGGATACGCCGGGTGAGACGTGGGAGAAGAAGGCTGAGCGGTCTTCGGTTAGGAGGGTAAAGAGGTTGTGGAGTTGAGTGTGGGTTGGATACATCTTGCGTAGTTGTTGAAGAAGGAGCGGATGGGGATGTCCGGGTTGTCGTGTGGTATGAGAGGAATGGAAGAGAGGGAGATGGTATGTTTATTAAGACCTACGTGGCAGGTTTTATGGATGCTGGCTTCGTTGATTGTCAAACTGACATTCGATCGCGTGTATACGTCTTTTGCTAACTTGGCATCACATCATTGCGCTATGCGTGTGATTCTCAGATTATTGTGGAAAAGTTGTGCTAAGCACGTCGTGGATACGGTCAGGTAGCAACTCGCCATGGATTCGACTCTTCGAGGTGATTGGCTTGCTCGCTATAGCAAAGCCAATGCAGCAATCTTCGGGGCAGTTTCCTGTATTAGAGGTGTTTTGCAACCACTTTGCAACCTCAATAGGTGGATCCTTTAACCGGATCTGGATGACTTGGTACTGAATTATGTCAAGCGGTTACTAGAGATTGTTAGTATCGTGGTCCCGAGCATCCTCGTTACTATATCTACTTCAAGACAAGGGCACGACTTTGTATAGCATTTTATGCCTGGATTTCCTCTTTTAGTTGCGAAGGGCGCTCTAGAGGTAGAGCGCCTTCTTCAAGACTCAAAAGGGAAGCCATTTTAACTAACCTTAGTTTAGTCTCGTAGGTCTCTTCCCTGTTGACAGTGCAGTTAAAAAACCTAGAGAACTTCGACTCTCCGAGTTGCAAAACACCTCTATTCACAACGATCTATACATCATCTTGTCGCGCTTCTTCATGACAGCAGTCGCGAGAAAATACAACGCCGCGGCAGCGCACGGATCACGACATGCTGAAGTCAAAGGCGACACGAAAAGTCGCGTGGGGTGTGCGAAGCTTTTCGATAGTGGCAGGGACCATTGGAAAGGCTGAAGAGGCTCCGCGCCTGTTCCTGAAAAGGCGAAGGCGAAGCGGCACTTTTCTCTTACGAAGGTTGGGCTCCTTCGGTGATTTGTTGTAGTCCTTGGGTGTGACGCTGGTACTTTCAACGATTGCTGTGTATTGCTGTGGTCTCTCAATATTGGTGGCGTTCACGCAGACTTGCGTTCCTGGATATGGGATTATTGGTGCTCGCGTTCAGTGTTCCACAGGGCTGAATACCGGCTGTTCCATGAAGAGCGGGTTGCTGTTGCGACCACAGACCCATGGCGTCTGTAATAGCCAAATGCATTATTGAGACTTTTGGGGGTGTACGTGCTGCTTCCCTGAAAGGGCATTTCTCGGACGAAATGGTAGGCGAGATGTTGTGCAGCTGTCATGTGCATGAAGCCGCAGCAGAAAGCCTCCTGATCAGCGGCGAACAGATTGGTACGGAATGGGCGTTTGCAGCAGCGGAAATCCGAACATGTCCAAGAGTGGTAGATGGCAGCTACCAACACTGCGAGATGGAGAGATGATGAGCCGTTCCGCGTGCGAAGCTGTCCCACCTCCATGTCAGTCGCAAGGAGAGCTCTTGGGCAGCTCATTCGCCGGCCACACACTGCTCTCCCTCTCTCCCAGCGAAAGGCCGAGACAGCGCGCGTGCAAGCTCTTCGGGTGGTGTAGAAAGACAGGAGTATGCCCAACTCACATTCTTTCTCTCTCCCACAACCCCGTCTTCCTCTCGAACCTAAACAACCATCATCCTCCTATTGCTGACGAGAAGGGGGGATGGGGATGGGCATCAATTCATCATCATTCAATCTCCCGGCGGAAGCGTCTCCCTTGCCGGCGGCCGCGAGAGACGGCAGGGACATGGACCAGGCCGGGGTGACTCGCGGAGTTCGCGTGCTGCGTTGGCACAAGAGCGCACTATGGGCGACTTGCAACAAAATGCACGCCGCCTACCGACTGACGTGCGTTGCATGCATTTCCTGCTCGGTTCGCCATCGATTTTGTGCGTCTGCAAGGCAGGTTTTGGGGACAGACGTACGGCCAATTGCACGCGACTGTCGCCAGCAGCACGAGGCAAGGCAAGGCAGGCAACTCAGCTGGAGGGCATTGGACTCTGGAGTCGCACGGCCGGCACAGCACGAGGCTCCTCGCGCGCCCACTCAGCGACAGCGACCTCCTACATCCGGGAAGCAGCGACGGTGATGCGACGATGGTGAGGCTCATATACCACCACTCTCCCGCCCACGCCCACGCCCACACCCACGCCCACGCCAACGCCTCCCGCCGACCGTCGACCTCCCTTCACACTACTGTTTGGATCTACGGCCCGATCGCACGGTGCCAGGTACTCGGAGAGAGCGTCACCACTGTGATCATCGTCGACGAACAGCTCGTCGCTCGAGCGTGCCGCTTGGCCAGCGATTGCAGCGCAAACAGCCACAAGCGGTCGGGCGACTGCCAGCGCATACTGCATCACACCCAACCTCCAGCACGGCCCGACTACTGCTGCTGCTGCGCGGCAAACAAGAATAGCAGGTAAGTGATCATTTCAATTGCCATCCTTCGTTTCGCTCGCCTTGGCTGTCGCAAATGGACGTGTGAGCATCAGCACTGGCGCGGTCGAAGCTTTGAATGCAGCTCCGCCGGCCCAGCCATTCGAATTCTCGTCATCATTCGCTCCAACTCCGAGTCCCAGCCTCGCCAAATCCACCAATTCACCCTTCCCTGCCACTTTCACAAAACGCGATCGCGTGTTTCCCCCTTGTCCCAGCGAACGATGGCTCTGTCTTCACTCCTCCTGTCGCTACCACTGCCACCCACATTCCAGTCTACTACAAGGGAAGCTGCGATCGGCTTACAATTGAGTTGTCGCAAAGCAGAGCTCCGAGCGACCACTCCCGCGACATCATCGGCAACCAGCTGTAGCTGTTGATCTCCACCAACCCCCGGTCTCGCGACCACCAGCCTGACCGGGCTGCACTGCACTTGCACCGAGCCATTGCCATTGCCATTGCCATTGCCATTGCCATTGCCATTGCCATTGCCATTGCCATTGGCACTGCGCGACCACGCAGAAACACTTTTTGCGTGCTGCTGCACACCACGATAGCGCTCGCCGGGACTGCTCGCACGCACAGCAGCCGTGTCGCTCCCAATCCACGGCAGTGCTAACGACCGAAACGAGACCCACGAACAACGCTATACGACCTCATTAATACAGCGCCAGGAGCAGGCTCAGGCACACCTCCGCACACAACTTGCAGACCTCTCGCGACCTTCTTCCAGCAGTGGCAGCGTCGGCAGTCGCAGTCTCCGCCGTGCACCAAGATTTGACGATTTCACGCCATCTCGTCTGCGATCGACCTCTGTCGGCCCTCCCGATCGTCGCGCAGACTCACCAACACGTCCAGAGCCTTCGCCTCCACCACGTGCAGCATCGTCGCCACCACGGCCAATTCATCATCGGCGAGCGACTAGTGCACACTTTGCCACCTCAGCACCTCATCCAGCACTTCGAATCTCTAAGCGAACACATTCTGCCATCTTGTATGCGCTAGAAGAGGCCATTCGTAAGCCAAACCCCTTCACCGCCGACGAGATTGAGGAGAACGCTCAGATGTCAGATCTCGGCGGTGGCAGCACTGCCCGAGCATCCAATGGCGGAGCACGAACAGGAGGACCTGTGCCAGTGTCTGGTTCCAGCAGCACGCCGATTAGGACTCCGCGTGATGTGATGAGAGATCGCAATGCACGAGAAGCAAGACGGCAAGAGCAGCAACGGGTAGAGGAACAGCAACGGGTAGCTGAGGAGAGACGAAGAAGTGCTGAGCGGAGAGCTGCCACAATGCCTGGAGCCGCGCCGAGATTCTCCAACACCTCAAGTCAATACAGCCCGGATGTGAGAGCTGCAGAAGGCCAATTCGACCCCGGTCAAGCGGAGCGAAGGAGTAGTCGCATCGCTGGCGAGGTTGCAGGCACCAATGTTCTTGGCGAACCGACGGGTAGAACAACTTCGGAACCGCCGCCCAACAGGACGAGAGGCTCCAGCATACCGCAGGCCGGCCCTTCACAACCAGCTGCAGCTACAGCCGGTGCTTCACGTCGAACACAGAGCAGCCAGGCAGGACCTCGCCAACCTGCTCCTGCCGCATCGGCTGGCGCACATGCTGGATCGGCTGGTGCTGCTGCTTCGACTGTGGGAGAGGGATCACAGCGCGGTGCTCAATCATCCTCATTTCCTCACGCGTTTGAGAGATGGGAGACCTTGTCGTCACACTGGGAAGGTCTGACATCCTACTGGTTGCACAAGCTCGAACAGAATACGGAGGAGATACGTGAAGCGGTGCCTAACGCCTCAACCCTGAACAGGCAGATTACCGACCTGTCCGCTGCTGGAGCAAACCTCTTCCACGCCGTCGTCGAGCTTCAACGATTACGAGCTAGTAGCGAGCGTAAATTTCAGCGATGGTTCTTCGAGACACGAGCCGACAATGAGCGCAATCGCGAGATTCAGGCGGGTCTGGAGAGACAACTCAAGATCGAACGCCAGTCGCGAGAAGAGTCTACACGAACTCAAGCTGATGCCAATCTTGCCATCGAGAATGCAAAGCGAGAGGTTGCTGAAATGAGGCGTGAGCTCATGATTTCGAAAGATGAAGCTCGCCGTGCTTGGGAAGAGTTAGGCAGGAGAAATCAGGAATCTTTGGATACCGCTCAAAGCCTGAAAGAGGGTAGAGTCACTTTGGTTAGCGGAGTCCAAGTGGTGCCGTACTTTGGTCAACCCAGTCGGACAGGCAGTGCAAGTCAAGGAGCAAGGCCAGTCACCCGGGATGGGCAAGGATATGGAAGTGCTGGCCTAGCAGGAGCTGCAGGACTTGCAAGCCCTGACGATGGGAGAGAGTACTATCGTGAGGAAGGTCCCTCACCATCCAACACCGATCCGTTCACGGATAGCGGACGACACCCACCACCACTGCATCAAAGTCTTGCGCAGGGCACGTACTACCCACATGGAACAACACCGACATCACAAGCAACAACGTCAACCGCGATACCTGCTACATATCAAGAACAAGCTTCACCAAGCCAACAGCGTGGCGGTGCCGCAGCCTTGGCCGCGCAGATCGCAGGTGCAGATCCTGAACGCTTCTACCAGCATGCCGGTCCAGGAACGTCACTACATTCATCACAGACATCGTCACAGAATGTGCCCGTCCCTGCAGCACAAACAGCACCAATAAGGCGAGAGGATGTACGTTCAGATCCTGGATCCTATCTCGAATCCGAGCTCAGCGAAGGTGACACTGAATATGCCATCGATGCGGGTGGTAACATTCGCCGCGATGAACAAGGTCGCCCAATAGTCTTCCGTCGACGTGGTCCTGTACGCAGCATTGAGAGTGAAGACGACTTTGACACCGAAGAAGCTGTTCGTCGTGAACGCGAACTTGCAGCAAGATATGGTGGCGGTGCCATTCCCGAAGCTCCTTCCGTACCTGCTACCAGCGCGCAAGCCATGGAGACTTTTCAGGAGAGTGCTGGGCCGGACTATTCGGGACAGGGATACGACAACTACCAGCAATATATTCCGAGACATCATCACCCTACCCGTCTGAGCGATGTCCTGGAAGAAGAGGAAGAAAGAAGCTCGAGACGGACAGGACCGGAATAGAATGCCGCGTCCACTGCGCCACTAGAGCCAATGACGCCCGAGAACACCGACTCAACGGAGGAGATTATCAGGGACCTGCAATTGGGTACAAAAACACCCGCCATTGAGACTGATACAGACATGGTGCATTGGTGGGAAATGGTGAGAGGCTGTGATGGAAGTCGAGATATTCTTTTCAACTGAACATACGTACCACGAAACTCATTTCGTAGCGTTGGCGTTTGCATTGGAGGGAGAGAAGGAGAGACGCATAAGTGAGCCAGCCAGCCAGCCAGCAACAGCAGGACGGGAGGGATCTATCTCTCATTCGAATTTCCTTGGCATAGCGAGGCGCGCTTTTTACTTTTCTGCTCGAATATTTGCGAGCGGCATTGGTTGAGATACCTCTGAAGCGAGCGGAAAGCATCTTTTTATTTCAGTGTCTGGTTTAGTTTGCATGAGGGTGGATGTATGTCTGAACGGCTGCGGCTGCGAGAGATTTTGTTTTCTTGCATTGTCTTTGAAGCTTCAGCGAGAAAGGAAGAAGAAGTGCATGTAGTACAGTACGGCAGAGAGAGCAGGGCATATATTATAGCTTCTAGATACTTACCACCCCCGTACTTAATGTATTAAGAGAGAAGATATGTACTTTGAGATGGCTGATCCTTTGATGAATACCTGATCTTTTCTTTTTTTTGTTGTTATTCATGCCGATAATGTTGGTCGATTAAGCTAATTGTGTGAGGTTATTTATACTAATAAGAATGATGGATGGGACGGAGTTGGTAGAATTCTTTAAGGAGGTTGATTGGGAGAGGGGAAATTTTGCCGCCGGTGAAGGAGTATTCTATGAGTTTAGGGGCATTGATGAGGAGGTTTGGGAAGGATGCAAGAGAAAAGACGTCGAGCGTTGGTCTTGAAGAATCATCATCATCATGAGTAACGGAGAAGTTTTCTCTCGCTCAAAGCACAAAAACCATTCAACACCTTATCAAGCTTCTTAAGTCTAGTAACGCTGCAACTCCCCAGCTCTGTTATTGTAGATCATCCTCCACTGTTTGTACGGCTTGGAGTATTCCTCATCATCTTCCTCGTCCTCGTCCTCGTCCTCCTCCATCTCCTCATCCTCATTCTCATCATCTTCCTCCATCTCCTCGTCATCTTCCTCCTCGTGCTCGTGCTCGTGCTCGTGCTCCTCAATCTCCTCACCCTCCCTAGAATCTTCCTCCTCGCCCTCGCCCTCGCCCTCCTCAATCTCCTCTTCCTCTTCCTCTTCCTCCTCAATCTCCTCGTCCTTATCCTCCCCAGCATCTTCCACATTCGACAAGGAAACCCCAACGTCATCACCAGCAGATTCCTCATTCGCGTCATATCCAGATTCCGATCCGGGCGCTACGCTATCACCTCGCAATGTGTGAGACGAGTCCGAATCTTCAGGCACAACAGATCCAGCATCCCCGTCATGGCCAGTCTCATCGCTTTCGCCGCGTAACGTGTGCGACGAAGAAGGGTCCGAGGTAGATTGCTCGACCTCGTCTCCTGCTTGAGAAGTCGCTTCCAAAAGCCGAGCAGAATAGACCGTGAACTCCTCAGGAACGGGAGGCATAGTCGCCGCCATGAGAAGCTGACGTTGAGCTCGGGCGAAGTCTAGTCGGCCTTGGTAAACTCTTTGACTGGCTTGCCAGGATGGGATGCTCGTAGCATATTGGTCTGGGAGTGTTCCGTTGGCGGCACCGACTGCGCACCAGGCGAGTAGGGCTTCGATGTTGCAGAGGTCGTATTTTGCACAAAGGACCTTCCTCTTATTTCGGAGTCGGTCTAGGAATCCGTTTTCTTCGAACTCTAGTGCGCGGTCGCTGGCGGAGATGGATCTCATCGAGTCCTCTACCGCTAAGATCTCATTTTTGAGCTGATCCTTCTCCGCCATCCTGGCCTGGTAGGTTTGGTAGTCTGACATGATGGTTTATGAAGCCGAGATGTGGTCGTAGCCGACTTGGATGATGTTTGGGGGTCTGAAGAGGTTGCTCTGCTGGTCCGACGCGATCCTAGCCAGCCTGTGTAGAGAAAAGGGATGTTGTTGCTTGGATGCGAGAAGACCTGATTACTGCCATTGTAGAATTTATACAAACCAGAACTTGCGCGTGAGGACAGCTTTTTGAAGGTGTGGAGCCCATCAGCATATTGCTTGTCCGGGGACAGGCTGAGGACTGAGGACTGAGGACATGTGCGAAAATTCAAAATGTGGACGCGTAGTAGCGACTCCATAAATATTGTGCTCTGATAGTCATGCAAGAGCTTCAGTTTTTTCTTCCAGTGTTTAGCGAGGCTGAGTGAAAACTTGTTCGAGAGTGGTAGTAGTAAAAATGCTTAATTTCATACCTGAGGCAGCGAGAACGCTTGAGACGCTGGAATACTTGAATATCAAAAGTCTACCACCAGGGTAGACGACTTACCTTTTTGTTTCACTTAGTTGTGAGAGCCGAAGACTTGGTTGGGCATGAGAAGTTGATCTCTGGGTAGGCGGCCTTAAGAGCATTGTTGACGTTGGCAAGATTGCCGGCCTTCATGTTTGAAGTCATGATGATAAGGGTGTTCTTATTGCCATTCGCGCCGCGGCACTTGAGTCCCTTGACGTCGAAATGCTTGCCGACCTTGGCCTTGAGTTCAGGACAGCGACCGCCACCAAGGTATGGTCGGCCAATCGTGACCTTGAATGCGGACGTGTTGATGTTGCGGAAAGCGTCCCGGTATGCAATGCAAGTGCTCTGGTTTGGGGCGACGACATCGCGAGCGATGAGGGAGACTGGCTCGGCCTCAGGCTCGATAGGAGCCGACAGCACTGCTGTGGCGGCAAGGAGTGTTGTAAGGTGGAATCGCATGTTGTGTGAAGGATTCAAATACTTTCGTGGTGTGTTAGTATGGATGGAGAGTTTTTGGGGGGTGTGTGTTTTGACGTTGCGAACTTGAGTCGAGCGAGGGAAGCGCGTGTGATATATGCTCATCGATGGACAAAGCGTCTTCACAAGGACTTGCAGTGAACAAAGGTGAATGGCCCAATTTTGGCGCTGCAAGCCCACCAGACCAGGCAGGACAAAGCACGTATTGTTTTGTGACTAAGAACTTCCGAAGCGCAGGTCTGGAACGTGACTTCGGCTTGGGGTGTTGACATGCTGAGAGCTGTCTCGTCGCATGTGACACGGCGTGAGAGGCTGAATCGATTATCGGACACGGTGAGCACACTGACTCATGAATGCTCCCAGAATGTAGGCGAATAGTAGAAGGAAGATGCAGTGGAGTGGCCAGAGTGGAATGCAAGTTGGAAGAGTAAGTCGTTGCTGCCCATCTTGACGCAAGGTTTCGGGAGGTGATTTGAGCCGCCCCTCATCTTCGAGAGTTCGCCCTCTTTCCACACCCACGCACATTACACCACACACCACACTCTCCGCTCCACCACCAAACCCACGACAATCCCTTCATACCAAGCGCTTCTTACTACTCCACACAGCAGACAAGAAGGCAACGCAGTCTCGTATGTCGATTGAAAATCTCAAGTCTTTCGGTAAGTGAGCCTCAAAGCCCGACAACACGCTCAGCCTCGCGCGATAAGCACACCCCTCGCCTCGACTCGTGTGCACCGCGCAACATGTCGCCGACCTGCCTTGGCTGTATACCGGTAGCGGCGACAGTGCCGGCGTGTGCACACTCCGCCTACGCTCTCCATACCGACCATGACTGACGCGCATGTGACACAGACCCCTTCGCCGAAGCCGATGAGGATACCGGAGGCGACGCCAAGCAGTCCCAGAACTACATCCACATCCGTATCCAGCGTAAGTTCGAACATCTGAGAAACGCTACCCAAGACTCCTCTGACTCGAGTTCCTCCAGAACGCAATGGTCGTAAGACCTTGACTACCGTCCAGGGCCTGCCGAAGAAATTCGACCAGAAGAAGATCCTCAATGCAAAGAAGATTAAAGTCCTGCAATGGCACCATCGTCAACGACTCGGAGATGGGCGAGGTGATTCAGCTTCAGGGCGACCAGCGCAAGGATGTCCAGGAGTTCTTGATCGACAAGAAGGAGGGTTTGGAGCTGGATGCCAAGACCATTAAGGTCCATGGCTTCTAGTCCCGTCAAAACATAGAGCATGATCGCCAGCGGTCGTCGCGACACCGGCGGAGTCGGCATTGCAAGCCAGAACATCCGCGCGAAGGACCGGCCAGCTCCATAGAAGCTGTGGACTCCGGCAGGACCGGCGTGCGCGACACGACTTCACGACTACGGCACAGCCTATCAGAAAGGCTACGACGACATGCATGGTGGATACCCTCTGATCGATGGGCTTTGGGAACGCGTACTCTACCTTTCTTTATCACGACCTTTTTCGGCTTCTACGGAGACGCATGCGTGTCTTGTCACGAACACCTGGACAGTGATGGACCGGTTATTAGGACGAGTAGCGAATGCGGAAGGAGCGACGGCTTGGTTGGCTTTTTATGGCTCAATAGTCTTAACAGACCAGAATGGAATGCATGCCAACCTTGCACCTAAGTGATACCACTGAAGTCTTCTTGAAACGTCTCCAAACCGTACATGAAGTTTAATGCGTTTATAATATATGCTACGTCCGCGCATCTGTACATTCGCTAACTCATCTCCTACGCAGCACCAAGCAATCTCTTCTGCTTGACTTCTTTCTGCTTCCTGATCTCTTGCAGCCCAGTCTCAGTCGTCGTGCCCCAAGCCTGCCACTCACCAACCTCACCCTGCCGCAATAACCTCTGCAGCACAAGGTACTCCGTCACATCCTTCCGATTCTTCATCTCTTCCTCCTGAATCTTTTCTTCCGGAATCGCCTGCCCATTCCTATCCACCGGCACATCCGCAACCACGTATTGCTGGGTCGCGGGATCCAAAACCCTCATCCTCTTCAAACGCATCAAAGACTGCTGACTGCTAATCCTCACAACAGCCTGCATAATCCCCGTCCTCTTCTCATTCGACCCCTTGACATCCGGCAACGCAAACACATATGCCACACATCTCGGCCGTTCGAGATACTTGTGAAGCTTCCATTCGAGGAGCTCTCCATGTGCTCTCTGATGTATCCTCGACTGCAAACTTTTGGCAAATCCAGGCGCTAATGTATGTTCTAGGCCAGCATCGTTATTCAAATCCCCTGCTGCGAGAGCTTTGTACATCGCCTCATATATCTCTTGCGCTATCTTCGGAGTCTTGCTCCTCTGTAGTTGTAATCGAGGCTTCACGAACCAGAATGCCATGAAGTGTGATTGACAATATTTCACGAAATTCATGAAGCGGGATTTTTCGATTTGTAGCCGGTCCCGGGTTTGTGTGAAGAGGGAAGGGAGTTTGTGGCCTGTGGGTGGGACGAATGTTCCTTCGATTAAACCCATGTAATTGAGCATTTCGCCTGATTCTTGCAATTTTGCCATTTGTTGTTTTTGTTGGAGGGACATGGATTTTTGGGCCCTTAGCCGCCCTTTGCCGGCCATGCGGTTGGGGTTGCTCACGAGGCATTTTGGTGATGTGCTGAAGGGGCGTTTCGATGATGATGACGATGGCGAGGTGTTGACTCGGAGGATGGTGCTGGTGCTACGGCGGGCGGTGGTGGTGGCGGAGCGGCATTGTCGTGTACAGGACGATGCGCTGGATCGTATGGGAGTTGATAGTAGGGATATGCAGATGCGTTTCGACATTGGATGGGATGCGCGCGAGCAGAAGCGTGGTTGCGGTCGTAGGAACCTTTGAGGTGAAGCTTCTCGGGAGTCTCGCGCTGGAAGCCGAACCTTCTCCTTGACCGAGTACGATCGCGTTCTCCTCCGTTACTGTACACAACAGAGACATCGCTAGAAAGCTACACACGAGCATTACGAATACACTCCTGGCCTCTGCGATCGAATTCGTCGAGTAGACTGTTCGACATTCGCTGCTGATCTTCGACCTCCGCTCAAGCGGAATTTCACGTTCAATAATGATGGCCATACGCACTCTCTGCTTCTTTGTTTACTAATGTCACCTGGAGCCCAATGAGCACACTGTCGCTCATGTGGATAGACACGCTGTCGCTCACGCCAGATCAGGCCAGGCATCAATGGCGCCCTTAGCTGCTTTAAGAGAGGAAGCATATATATGGCTTGGCATTTTGCTTGGACGGAGGCCTGATCCCGAGGAGGCCACAGAAAGACGACTGAATAGAGCATCATCATCCACTTGCAGGATAAGTCGTTGCAGGACCACCACGCGGTCTGACATCAGCCCTACAAGGTCCTTAGAGGACCCATGGTGGTTACATATAGCTGCGCACACAATATCAGTAGGCGAACGGTCTTCCCAACTCGACTTCGCCAAGTGCAGCTTCACCATCACAGCCAGGCTTGCAGTAGTCATCTGCAATACCACTTTGTAACAGTGAAGGAAGAAGGAGGAACAGAGCCTTGTCATACGGCTCCCAAGAGCTCTGCCAACAGCCTCGGGATCCTACTCCGCTTTATAACACCTCGATTTGCCTGAATCGGAACAACACTGTCGCAGATTGCTATACACTTATCTTTCCCCACGATCAGCTGCCTTGTTGTTCTACTGACCTCCTTCAACTCGCTCATTCTATAGCAAGTCTTTGTCAACCAGCCATGGCTAATCAATTCCCAGACTACTGGGGCATGCACTTCACCAAGACCATCCACAACAAACCGGAAGGTCCTACAGATCCAAGTAACATCAAATTACATCCCGACTTTGTGGTTGTAGTGACTGGGGCTGGCAAAGGATTGGGTTACCACATCGCATTGAGTTATGCCATCGCTGGAGCTAGAGGCATTGTAATCGCATCCAGGACCAAGTCTGACCTGCACAAGCTTGAAGCCGAAATCAAGCAGATCAATCCAAATGCAGAAGTGCTCAGCCAGACATGCGATACAATGAAGGATGCAGACGTCAAAGCATTGGCTGAAGCTACGAAACAAAGATATGGCAGGCTGGATGTAGTGGTAAGCTGTTCTCCCTATCCTCCGAAGAAGTCCATACTTACGCGGTAAAGGTTGCAAATGCGGGCGTCATATCAAAATACATCACCAAGTCGGATGGGAAGGAATATATGCCGGTCGGTGTCGTCGAAGATGAAGACTTCCCGCGCGTGATCGAGACCAATCTGATGGGCTCTTGGAGGGTTGCACATAATTTCGTGCCGCAACTTGAAGCCACCAAAGACGGTCCTCAAGCGTGAGACTTCAGCAGCTCAATGATCGACCACATGACGCTGAGTACTAGACTTCTGTAGGTTCATCGTCATCACCAGCATCGCATCGCACATGAACAAATCCGAAATGTGCCCTATTGCATACAACCTCAGCAAGATTTGCATGAACCGTCTGGCCGAACACATCCACCAGGACCATTACGAGACCACGGGTGTACAGGCTTTCGCAGTACATCCTGGTGCAGTTCACACTCCACAGACCGAGAGGCATCATGAGACTCAATTGGGGCAGCTGTGGACAGATGGTGAGCCCGAATGCCTCGGGCTAGAACTTGGAGAGACTGACACATCTATAGTCCTTACAGACGACGTTGCGCTTTGTGGTGGCTTCCTTACCTGGCTTACTTCTGAAAAGCGACCTTGGCTGAGTGGGAGGTACATCTCTGTGAATTGGGATACACAGGAACTTGAGAGCATGAAAGATGAGATCGTGGAGAAGGATAAGTTGACGATGCGAATGACAGTATAGCATTGCAAGAAGTTGACGAATCCGACAGCTTCGCTCAGCTGGCGGCCTGCTGTGCACTTGCATCGTTGCGCCACCTCTCAACCCGATGTTACAGAAACTTGAACGTGAGAACGTGACCGAGTCCTTCACACGAATTATTCAGAGCCTCGTGGAGACGGCCTTTACTAAAGACCATTCAATGACGTCTCAAGATGACGATTGTGCCATATCGTACTGCTGAGGCGATCAATCCGACTGGCGAAACATTACCATGAACGAATGCAACTTCTCCGTTACAAAGAATCTTTTGCAAGCTCTGAGTGACATTCTTGTACATCACGACAACGAACTACGTTACTACTGGGTCGATGCCATTTGTATCATCAGCCAGGGTGATGTTGAGGAGCGAAATGATGCAAGCCCATAAAATGTGGCGTATCTTCTCTGGTGCAAGTAAAGTCTACGCCTAAATATGACCCAGCATCCGCGCCGCTCGAGAGGAGCTTTTTCGCTCATCTGAGGATCATGCTTGGATACGCCGTATCGAGTGTCTGGCGACTCAAAACGGCGCCTTCCAGAATACGATGTTGTATCGCTCACCAGTGAGCAATCAACGAGTGCGAGGCGGGTAAGTCTCTCAAGTTATCATCGTCGTGATGAGGTTAGAGAAGGCGAAAGACTGGACCGCCAGAAGAAGGCCCCGGAGAGGCTATATAAAGCCAAGCCCCCAGATCTCTGCAGCTATTCTACAGACCGACCCCTGTTTCACACTGCGCCTCACCTCGTATCAAAAGTCTTCGCGACAAGATATCCCTGTGCCGCTTTTGTAACAAGAACCAAAGACAAGCGTGCTGCGCTGTGCTTGTCGTTCAGATGCTTCTTAATCCTTCCGCAGCAGATCCAAACGAAAGAAGCACAGCTGATTTAGAGTTCCTGCTATATGGTTAACGTCAGCCACTACCATACGACGACAGGGTCGAGAATCGAGGACCGATGCCTACTGCGGTCAAGCTAAAGCTTGTTTTGTTTGCGGGCGCACGCTAAATAGACTGAAAATAAAAGCTGATCGCTCGCCATTCGGTCTACCCGGAGAAGGTTGGCAGCCTGGACAATGTTGTGTTTTCACACGGACAACTGCCCGCTTCTGACAGGCTTGGCTTGGCTCTAGCGCCATGCGACGCTACATGACTGATCTGCGGCATATACGCCGGAGACGCATATTCTCCTCCTCCTCCTCCTATGATGAGCTCACCTCTCTCCGTCCATCACACACTCTCCTTGGACCACACCACCAGCTTCTCTTGGATACGCATTTCACTGTCACTCACTGAACAACAATCCCTAGACAGACTTCCAAGATGTTCGGCTTCACATATCTCGTCTGCACGCTATCAATCCTCAGCTCCATCGTGAAAGCTGCTCCTCCAACAACAACACCAGAATCAAAAAACGATATCAGGAAAATCCGAAACCTACATCAAAGCCATTCCCTCGTAACAAGAAATACAATCCCAGCAGCAGAGCCACAACAAGTCTGGATCGACGAATTCGACAACATCCAAACCCTCCCAGAACCCAAACCCATCGAACACTCCCACTCACACGACACATCATCCACCCAGTCCCAGTCCCAGTCCCAGTCCCAGTCCCAATCCCACCAATCACCCTTCGATTTCCTCATCCAAAGCTACAGTCACGGCGTAGAAATTCTCAATTTCGATCAACACTCCATGTATCTTCAAGGCTTCTTCGACGGCATTGCAATTTATGGAGCCGTGGCGGTCGCGGCTTTGATCTGTATCGCTCTGGTTTGTCATACTGTGGCGTCGAAATCTGGAGGGGCGATTCGATTGGGGAGAAATACGCGTCGACGGGGTTGGTCGAGGGATTCTTTGTGAGATTGATTTGATGAGAGGGAGTATGTTGAGATGGTTTTGATGATGATGATGATGAATGATGAATTATGAGTATGATGGGTAGAGATTGGATTGCTATTTGGTGGTATGGTGTGATTTATCGCTGGGGGAGGGGGTGTATCAATATAAATCCTGGCGCATCCATCTTTGCACTTTTTTTGCTTTTGTGTTGCACTATATCCACGACTATGCTATGCTATTCCTCTGATTTGTATCGAATGATGGACGACACAGGTCAAGAGTTTCAAAGTACTCAGCGAAGGTAGGTAACAAGGCTCTACATATGTTATGTAGCATGTCCAACTACACCGATTCACCACATTTCTGGCCCAACAGCTACTACGCCCTCAAGACAGGACAATCGCAATCTGCATCACAAACGCCTTCAAGTGCTTACTTACATCTCCGAGCGCAAAGCCAAGTAGATCAAGTGTTACTATTAGCACGCCATGACTAGCCTGCATACCACATTTGACCGAGCCGTCTGTCACTCGTGCTGTCATACAGTCCTCTCTTCCTGCACGCTAGGGTATATCTCGAAAGGCTTCGATGACTTCAAGACTGCTCCTTTGGAATACTGCTCACGTGGAGTTCTTCCCAAAGAGTTGGTGAAGTGAACCGATATAATTGCCGAAGGCTTGGCACTATCTGACATTGCAACTGTAACTAATTATACATCATCTTCATCATCATCACATCGTCCCCATCATCCTTATCATTCTGTGGATGTCTCTCTCTCTCTCTTCGAAAGCTGTAACTGTTCATTCATGTACCTTGGGTGACTTCACGATCACTCCCCGCTGAGCAATGTCTGGCGTGTCCTACTCCCGCCACTGCGGCTGCCACTCCTGACCCGGATAACTCGCACCCCTCATAATAAACTCCTCTTCCCCGACAGTAGGATCATCACGCCTGCCACTATATCCACTGCTGGGCCTTCTCCGGTGTTGAGGTACATGCGGAGCATGATATGCGTTCTGGTTATGACCAGTGGTAAAACTCCTCTGCATCGGTTGACGATCGCTGAAAGCCTCTTGATACTGGAATTGTAGTTGTTGCTGTTGCTGTTGGGCGTAGTACCGACCTCGAGAAGGTGGGTTAGGAGCTTGTTGACGAGGATACCAGCCTTGTTGGATCATCTGTTGTCCAGAAGGATTGATGCGTGGGCCCTGGTAAGCTGAACCTCCTTGATATGTGGAATGGATGTACATCTGTTGTGGATGATGCTCGGGAGAGTATGGAGGGCTTGGGTATGCTCCTCTGGTGTCCTCTTCGTCTGGTATGAGCGGCACAGTTGGTGGAGGTCGTGGAGGAGGTTGGCCGCGCGCGAAATGTTCTGGAAAGCCCATTGGTATCTCAGGTTGTGGAGGAGGTGCGATGCCTTGTTGCTGTAGAGCATAATATTGCTGTTGCTGCTGGTGAGGTCCAGGAGGCGGTGAAGCCATTGCAAACCGTGGCGGAGGCGGGGATGCAGCGTGCTGATATTGCTGCGCGTCGTAAAATTCATCCGTAGCAGCTCGCACTGGTCCTTCAGGTCGATAATCAGGTGGTATATTCCAACTTGATTGCCTTGAGTGACCTGGAGGCAGAGCAATCGCGAAGGGAGTCTGCTGATCGCTGTACTCCTTTGCCGGACTGCGTGCTACTTCTTGACTTAACGAGCCCATTCGATCTCTATGAGACACTCCATATCCTCCGGAATCAGAGCTGGTGTTGATAGGGGAGATGGAAGCTCCCGACCTTGACTCGAATGGCCGTTGGCTGGGCCAGTATTCCGATCTGCCAGATATCGGATTGGTGGACTCTGAGCCATAGCTGCCTTCTCTTTGCCGCATGGGATTTGCTGGCGACATCGGCCCCTGATCAGAGTAGCCTGGTGGCCCGCCTGGCAGGTAGGGTTGTTGTTGCTGAAGTACGTGGAACTGCCCAGGCAATGGAGGCCCGATGGGCTTCACAGGGCGCCCAAAACTTATATCAACGGGTCGGAAAGCCTCGGGGACTTGAGCAATCGGTCGAGCTCGTCCAGGTTCAGCACCGAGACTGTGAAGTCGCCTGAACTGGGGCATTGCTTGGCTGCTCATGCTTGGCTGATCGGTCTCTTGAGCTGGAAGAAAGGCTTGAGAAGGAAGAGAAGAGTGCCGCTCTCCATCGCGACGTGGCGCGTACCAGCCTTCAGCAGGTGGCGCATTTTCAGAAGGCACGAATGAGCCTCCCTCGCCCATTGACGGTCGAGCGTGCGGCAGAGGCGCTGGCTCTGCTTGCCGCATAGCCTGCCGTTGTCTGTCAAACGCTCGACCTTCTCTGCGCCTAGCTCTTTCATAGTCGTCGTACGCATTGATTGCGCCTTGTACGGTAGCGCTATCGCCTGGCCGACTTTGAGGCGCTGGTCGGCTCTGTGGAGGCGTTGCTGATGACCTTGCATCCGCTACGGGGGCGCCTTTCTTCAGTTTCTTGATTGACTCCTTGTCAGCCTTCTCGTGGCCAGCTGCAGTACTACTCCGGCCCAGCAAACTCTTCAATCCAGAGAAGCGCTTCTTCTTCGGTTCGAGCTCAATAGCATTCGACGAGGCTCGTTGGGGCTTCGTCAAAGTTTTGCGTCCTTTCGCAGAAGAGTCCACGTGCTCCATCGTCGACATCGGAACGGGAGGCGGGACATTAGGAGGAGGAGCAGCGCCAGTGCTAGGGCCAGTAAGGTCCCCGGCGAGCGGAGCAAGTGAGCTTTCTCTGGATTGATGATCAGACTCAATTTTGGCGCCACTGCTGCGGCGGGATGACAATGTCGCCCACAAGCCACTTCTGATCCTGCCTTGCTTCGAAGAATCCTGCGCCTGTGAGTGCTCCTCGGGGGCAGGAGGCCCATACGCGAGGTCCTCCAATCCATGCTGATCGGTGATATTACGTGGTGTTGGGTAAGTGGCGGCGTCACGACGAAAGAAGCCGGATTGGCGACTCCCTCTTCCACTCAAATCACCACTGTTGTGCGGAGAATGGCCAGGGCTGACAAGAACTCCACTGCCGATGGAGGTCCTCATCTTCTCATACTGAGTTGGCTCGACGTGGCCGCTCAATCTCATCGCAGGATGTTGCAAGTAAGGCAATGCGCCAGCCGGCGGGCCAGCCATTGCACTGATGTCAATTGGAGGCGTGTCGGCGACACGAGGAGAAGCTCCCTGTGCAGTCGAAATGCTTTCTTGCACAAAGCCGGCAGAGTCGCGTTTACTCGGCATGTAAGACAGCGGCCGCTCCGTCATGCCTGGGCGCTGCATGTATTGCCGATTCGCGAAACGATCGGAGAAGTCGCCTGATGCAGGGCCTCGAGGCTGAGGTCCAGGACCCGGCACTTGTCCAGCGGTTAGCTTCTGCAGCGGCGAGGCAACAGGCACGCTTGTTGGACCAGCCGGAACAGCCTGACTCGACATTGGCTCTTCAGGCTGGGCGTCGGCTCTCGTAGCACGATCGCCACCTCCCAGACTAGACACAGAAGAGTGTCTGCTTGCCGTCGGCCCCGTACTGGTGTGATGGCTGCTCTCATGAGCACCTTCCTCGGCGGATACCTCACTTCTTGCATCTTCCCACCGGTCTACATCGGCACCAGCAGTTGCCGGGATGGTATCAGCAGCATTGCTAGCAGAGAGCTGATACGGATTCGGCGTCGCTTCCGCCAGTTTGCTTGCGCTCTTCGAGGCATCTGTAGCTGGTAGCACCGTTGGCTCACGATTCTGTTGCTCCTCTCCCAGGCGCTCCAGCTCCCGCTCCTGCTCGGCAATTTGATCTCGCCAAGGCATACCAAATCTCGCTACGACTGGAGTGCTCTCGTAAAGTTCCTCTTCTTCAGTCGCAGTCTCTTTCTCGTGAGCAGATCGCCGAGGAGACGTGAGCGGAGGTGCAATAGGAGTGCTCTCATACAGCTCTTCGCCTTCTGGGCCTGCTTCTCTCTTGTAAGAGGCATGCTGAACAAGCGCAGGTGCTGCGGCCTTGATTGTGACAGGACTAGCTTGTACGAACTCAGCATCTGAAAGACCAGACTCTCGCGATGACGTGGCTTCGAGGGTAGAGGGTAGTATAACAGCAAGAGACTGGCTGTTGGCGCGAGAGTGAGCAGCGGTACTCGGTGGGCTCGTTGGAAGCGCTTTGACTGGACTTGATGGTTGTGAAGCCCGCCGGATCTGGCTAGGTAGACTTGCAAGGTCGCTCACTTTGCGTTGCTGTTGTGGTCTGGATATGGGCGGGGGAGTGCTTGAAGGACTCGCGTCTTGCTTCTCGGCATCTTCCTCGGAGGGCTTGGTCAGTTCGTCATCGTTTTGCAGCACGCCGCTCGGAGTCGCGGCCTTGTCACCAAAGTCAGCCTGTCTTGGAGTGCTTTCGTCCGGAACCTTTGCCGCATGAGTCGTAGGAGAAGGCGTTTCTTCGCTCTCCTCCATTTGCTTGCCATCATCTTCAGAGGGTGTGTGACTGGGCACACTCGCAAGCGCTCCTCCAAATTGATCTTCCAGCCCTTTCTTCCAGGCAGCTGCGCTACTCCTTCGTTGATATTGCTCCGTCGAGGCACTTCTCTCGCCGTTTTCGGAAAATGTCGCGGCGGTAGGAGCTGGAGAAGGCAAGACACCTAGCCTACGAACAAGGCCACTCTCGCTGTTGCGATGTTGATCGCCAGGGTTGGTCGGTGTTCTGGGAGGGATAGTAGCATCAGGAGAGTTCCAAGCCTCGACTCTTTGCGGACTCGTCGGACTGTTCATGGGCATGATAGGAGATGTTATACCAGCCTGAGAGTAGCCGATTGCCAGATCTGAGAAGTCATCCCAGGCGAGGTCAGCAGGGCCCGTAGCCACGAGGGCTGCAGCAGCTGCAGCTTCATCGGTGCTGCGTGAGTCTGTGGAGATCACACGCTTGGCTGGCCTGGAGTCGAGCTCTTCGTCTTCCAGCAAGTTGCTGCGCGAAAGCACCAAGCTTGGAGGGCGGCTTCTGCTCCCGTCTTTTCTGCTGCGGCTCATGCTCCTACTCTTTTCGCGAAGTCGCGTGAAAACCTGGCTAAGAGGTCTACTTGACGAGCTTCGTGCAGACACGGAGCTAGGAGTCTGCGATCGTTCTCTGCGACGAATGGCCGCTGCTGAGTTCGCAGATGCCTGGCGACTTGGCTCAGGATGCGGTTGGGCTTCAAGAGATGATGGCGGGAATTTGAACTCCTTCTTGGTGGGCGTGTTCTCGTCCACGGGTTCTGTTGGCGCTTCCGAAGCAAGAAATTCAGTCAGAGACAGTGATTGCTCTGGGCTTGCCTCGCTACCAAGAGCCATAGAATAGCGGCCGGCAATTTCTGGTCGCGCAGGTAAAGTGGCCGCAGAATCAACGATGGGATCTGGCGCAGCAGTCTTCGGCGCTTGGTCAGATTCACGCGGGTCGGCGGGCTCTGTTTTAGCAGACTTTGCTGACGCAGCAGCAGCGGTGATGGCAGCCAGGCCGGTCACTTTGAGGGGAGAGCTCGAGCTCTGAACATTTCTAGGGCTTGCGGTCTCCGTTGTAGCGCTCACGCCAGGACTGATTGCAGCCTTGACAGGAGTGGACGGGCTAGGTTCCTCAAGCGAGATTTTGTTCGCATTTTCCTTGTCGGCTTGCGAAGAGCTTCGTGTGAAAGCATTTTCGACGATATTATCATTTTCATGCTTCTGAGCATTATCACGCACGCTGGATAGCGGCGCATTTTCGTGGTCATTCGCCTCCAATGAGGGTTCCACAATGACTTGCGTGCCATCTGGCGCAAAGAGGACCGAAGGCTCGACAGTGGGTTTATTCGTTAGACTCTTAGAAGACTCGGTACCGGCAGCAAGTTTTGTGTCGGCGTTCAAAGGTGTATTGGGCGACTTCGCAGACAGACCAGCTGTGGCCACGGACGAGAGACTGGAGGGGCCGACTTTGGCACTCGAGGGACTCTTGGGATCCTATAACGACTTACCGTAAGCATGCGTCCTCTTGACTCAGTAGAGGATGTATGTTGGGGTGTTGAAGGGAGGAAGTGAAACTGTGTCGATGGCAGCCAAAGAATCTGGAATGTATACAACTAGTATAAGCCAGGGGAATGAGCCTCAACCAGGCTTTGTTCCTTCTTTGCGCTTTCGCTCCGCCGCAGATGTGCCGATCCAACAGGGGCATCGGAACTCCACATCGAAGAGCTCGAAAACTAGATGTGCGGTGGGATATCCATCTCCAGTGCCGTTCAAACCTGGAGCATGAAACTCTCAGTCACAATACAAAAGCAATGAAACGCCAAATGATCAAGGAAGCGAAGTGAAGTGAAGCCGAGACTTGAGTGCCAGAGAGTCGTAAGAAAAAAGCAATCATACCTCACCACCGCCAGTCTTTCGAACAGAGCCGCCCCCTCCTCCCCACTTCGACCTTCCCTTGGCCAGAAGACCTTTGGCCCCCGAGGCTGTCTTGCCGCCAAACACGCTGGCGCTCTTCATGAATTCCTTGCCACGCTGTTGCATCTGCTCCTGGACGCGATCCATGTCTATGCGAGGAGCACCACTACCAGAGGGTTTGTTGGCTGTGTCGCTTGGATCCAAGCCGGTCTGAGCTCCCGAGCCGAACGAAGTGCTACGACCTTGTTGATCGGCCTGTGCGGATGATCCGGAAGCAAATCGCTGTTTGAACCCGGCCAGCGAGGGGCTCGCACGGTGTCCTCTCTTCCACGTGTTTGTGCCACTGGGGCTGAGTTGTGTCTGAAGTGGTGGTGGTTTACCTTGAGCGGCAGTGACACTAACGTCGGGATGCTTGTGGGTCATCGCTATGAGCCAGTCTGACAATCCCGTATCCATGTTTGCAAAAGTGCCTCGAGTCTCGTTATAGGTCTTAATGCGCTCATCAGCCGTCTTCAATGCAAGAATGTTGCGGAATGGTGGAATATTGACGGCCCCGGGAGCGGTCCTGGGTCTCGATGGAGAGGCTGCGGGCTGATTTTGGATCGCAGTCGTGGTAACTTGATCTTTCTCCGGCGCTGCTGGGACATCGTCAGTAGCACCCGCATAATATGATGGTATGCGGGCAGAGGTATCGTCGTTCGAGACTGGACTGGGCGCGATCTCGCGCAAGGACTGCGATGGGCTACTCGGTCCAATAGTAGTATCTGGCAGCAAATGCTCTTGGCTCTTCATGATCGGGCTGACCAGTCCATCAGGGCTCTTCAATCCCCGTATACGCTGAGACAAGGATCTTGTGATTTCAGCCTCAGCTTCGGCGGCCTCAGGCCTTCGTGGTTGGGGCACTCCAAGGGTATCAGTCGTGGGAGTAATCTCGTTCATGGGCGTGTCTGGTGACACATCGCCATCTTCAGCATTCATGACGTGAAGCTGCTTGCTTCGTGGACGTTCATACGCAGCTTCTGGATAGATCTCTGGACTCTTTGGCTCCTCTTCAACCTTCTTTGCAGCAAGAAAGCTTCCGCTGTGTCGTTGTGGCTCTCTGTTCTCCCAGCTGAAGCGAGTGTCTAGGAGTCCTGGTCGGCGAGACGAGGTGGATTGAAGGCCAGCACCAGCAGTGAGGGCCGCCGCACCGACACCAGCTATTTCTGCAGCAGGCAAAGCATCCTTCCCTTGCTCGAGGCGACGCTCGTTCTCCGGTGCATCAAGAGCATCTTGATCGCGGTCAATGCCTTCAGAGGTACCTTGAAGGCTCGTCACTATCTCCTGATGCAGTCGATCGCTGTCCCGCTCGGTTGCCGCCGAATCATCGGAGAACTGCGATAGATGCGCAGGTGCAGCACTGGTAGATGAGAGGCTGTCATGATGCTCAGGCGAAGGGTCTCTGCTCCGTACTCGCAGTGGTGCTACAGTGTTGAAGTAGCCTGCGTTTTCGGGCTGCACGCCTCTCTCGCCGCTGCCGCTGGCTGGCTGAGGCGTAGGCGCAAAAGACGAGGCGACGCTGGCGGGCGGATCGCTGCTTTGATCGGTCTCGTGTCGTAGAAGTGGCGGCGCAAGCTGGCCAGTCATCTGTCTGGGGGCAAGTTCTGGTTGCTCGACGGGTGCAGGTGGCTCTTTCGATGCGAAGTCGCGAGTCTGATGGCCAACACCATGCGTTGACACGATGGACGCAGCGAGAGCGTCTCCAGCATCTTTCAATACGTCAACTGGACTTCGCTCAGGACTAGTACTGCCTTGCAGCTGATACTTTTTTGTCGTAGGCGTCAGGTCGACCGGCGTCTCGGAGCGGGTAAGATGTGGCCGGTCTGTATTCAAGGTCGAAGGAGGCGCAGGAGGAGGAGGACCCTCGACTGCTGGAGTAGGCGCCTCGCTCTGCCATGCGCCAGGTAAATCAGGCTTGAAAGACTCTTCTCTGCCAATTTCAGGTCGTGCCGGAGCGAGTCCACCCAGAGTGCTGCTTTCTGCCTCCGGGCGCACCTCGTTTGCGAGGTTGCTCTGACTGGTCCCGGCTCTCTTCGGCTTCGGCGGCTCTTCATCATCGCCAAAGCGACTCCATGAGCTCTGTGAACTGCCGATACTTGCAGCTGAGTTGCGCCTGCTGGACTTTTCGTAACGATCTGCTATTTCGCGTACGCGTCCTTTCGCGGGTGAGTCGGCCCTACTACCAACGCCTCCAGTCAAGGTCGGTGTAAGAGGCGATGTAGGAGTCTGCACGTTATGCGTCTGCAAGAACAAGTCTTGGCTGTTCTTTGCGGCGTGACCAAGGCGTGCATCCTTCTCTGGCGACGAATTGATTCGCGCAGCAAGATCAGCTTCTCGCATGCTGTAGTCTGTACCGCTCCTCCCTCGTCCTGGGGTCGGTAGAGGTGTGGAGGCAAGAGGCGCGACCTCGCTGGCGGATGTCTCCGCAGGGTGTAAATTAGGTTCAGGAATCTCGGCACCTTGATCGGAGACATCGGGTGCCTGGTGTTCGGCAACGACGGCTGATAAGGGTGTGCCGAGCCGTTCCTCTGCAGTACTCTCCAAGGCTGGTGTGCGAGCTGGCGAGGTACCATTAGAAGGAGGATCGAGACTTCTGCGATAGCCTGGTTCAAAACCCGCTGGCATACCATGATCGGCGCTCGCATTCCTGCTGTGGGCGGGCGACGGCTTCCGCGCAATCTTGTGAGTGCCCGTGAGTGTCGAGCCGGAAGCAGGTCGTGCATTCATCGAGCTTGGCGCAGTTTCCTCTGCGATGGGTGGGAAAGCAGAAGTGGGCATGTGGCTCATGATCGGGCTGATGCCAGCAGTAGATGTAGTGTCACTCCTACTCACACCACTGCCCGAGCCAGACTGCGACTGTGAGCTGTCGCGAGATAGAGCGGGCTCGTCAAAAGCCTGGTGTACAGCAGATCGAAAGCCCACCGATGGATTGTGCTGCAGATCGGTCTCTGCCGTCTGCTGTTGTCGCTCGGCGAGGATCTCTGCAGCCGGGTCATGACCTGGGCTGGGTCGAGTCGTTGTGGGTGTGGTTTGGAGCGAGCTGAACGTAGTCGCAGTCCTGTCGATGCTGGATGGGTTGGGTGTCGGTCCTGACGGCTGAGAAGAAGTGGGCGTTGCCTCAGAGGCTTGCACTTTCGGAGAGAACATGTCGTCACCAAAGCCCGAGACCCGTGATACTAATGGCAGTGTCGGGCTGGTCTCTCGGACTGGAGGAGTAGTGCTCGTGGCAGATTGTGTGCTTGGCGGGTCCTGACTTGCCGCGACATTGGAGGAAGGCTGGGCAACTGTGGAGGCGTCTGGAAAGAGCCTGCTCTCTCTCGCCTCTTGAACCGGAGTCAACGTTGACTGCTCGCCACTTTTGACCCTCTGCAGACTGTCCAGGCTGGGGCGCGAGCCCTCTTCACTCTGCCTTTTCATCTCTTCTGGGATTCGCTTGTAGATGTCGCTAGGCCTGATGAATGGCAGAGGCTTCTCCGTGTTTGCGGCACCGGTATTCACACCAGGATTAGTCAGACCCTCAGCAATGGCTCGTGCCTCAGCCGCCTGTGCCTGAGAATCGTAGTCTGACCCAGTGCTGAGACTGCTCTTGCGTGGAGGAAACCATTGAGTTGGAGGTGGCGCACCTCGCGGCATCGGCTGCGTACTGAGAGGCGGAGGTACTTGGTCGGGGTTTGTGAAGTCGCGCGGCCTTGATCTACTTCGCGGCATATCATTGCTGCGCCTGCGGCCACTAGCAGCTGAAGCTGGACCTTCACTCCTCTCGCTGTAAGCTGGAAATGGAGCAGACACGCTACGCGTGCCATCATCGCCCTGATCGAAGCTTCGCGTCCTCACTCGCGACAAAGGCTGTTGCGGAGGGGCGCGACGAAAGTGCTGCGAGGGTGGCTGCGCTACAGGTGACTGCGATGGCAGCTGGCTCGCACTCATCGGCATCGGCGGTCTCTCCTCTTCGTATGCATATTCATCGTAGGGATCATAGCCAGCCCAGTCGTCGCCATCATAAGTGTTCTTGGCCGCGTTCACCCATTTCTGCGTCTTGTGACGATTGACATTGGTCTTGAAGGATATGGGGCCGGCGGGCGTGGTTGGCGTGTTGTTCTGGGCCATGTCTGTCGACGCGATGCTCCGCCTGATTTCTCGTCCACGAGCGCCCGCAATTACAGATCAGGGGGTGGTCACGAGAAGGACATGGTATGCGTGGAGTGGTGCAGCGCGAACGGCGGACGCGCAGTAATACTGGACGTCGGGCAAGGTAAGGCAGGCTGAGGATGGGTCGTGCGAAGGCTGAGAAGTGCGAAGGTGTGGTGCGGCCGTCTGTTTCACTGGTGACACTGGGCGCAAAGCAAGCTTGAGCTAGGAATTAGATATCATCATAGAGGAAGTGGTTGCGAGAAGGAGAGTGTGGCGTAGATGGAGGGTACTATAGAGTAAGGTAGAGTGTACACGAATGTTGGAAGAGTTGGTGCCCATGGCGCACGGCCACGAATCCACGCTGACGCAGCAGGGATCAGCAACGCGATGATATTGAATGCATACATCGACAGTCCGACTTCTGTACGTAGTTGACGGTGCGGTCTCCTTTGTCTAGATATTGGATGACCAGGCAATCGTATTAATCCTTGCTTCCGTTCGGCGCCCTTGAAGGCTCGAAGTCGCAACGTTCCAGAATAGAAGCCGACTGGCCTCCCCGTCTGGCTTGCCCTGCCTGCATGCGAACTTGTCTACTCCCGCAACCCTTCTCGACAGACAACAGAGATAGAAAACACCTGTCAGACTCGAGGACGAGGCATTCACCACATTCACCACCGTCGAACCCCGAATACCCTCACACTTCCATACATCGCGCCAGTCCGCACACACGTCGCCCTCGGCCTCCTGGCCACCACCACCTCCAGAACACCGACCACCTTCCACCAAAAAAGTCTCACACTTTCTTCTGCATATTCCTGATTGACTCCGCCGAGAAACATGCTCACCATGGCGACACACTCTTCCATCCAAGACCGCACGCCCGAATTCCGCTCCATCCTCACCCAAGCTCAGAAATCACTCGCGCGCCAACGCAAAGCAGGAGGCGCTCAGTCGCAACCACTCTTGCCACACCAGAATGGCACCGCGACACCACCTACGCGAAAACAGCGGTCCGAGTTTGCGCGCAGTGCCGCGGGCATTGGTAGAGGCATCAGCGCGACAATGGGCAAACTTCAGAGATTAGGGGAACTGGCGCGGAAGAAGTCACTCTTCGACGACCGGCCTGTGGAAATCGCGGAATTGACCTTCGTCATTAAGCAAGACCTTGCGGGCCTCAATCACCAAATTCAGCAATTGCAGCAGTCGCAAAAAGCCATGAATGCGCAGGCCACTGGTGTGGCGACGCAAGAGGGAGAGCACAACAAGAACGTGACCGTGCTGCTTCAGGGCAGACTGGCGGATGTCACGGCCAGCTTTAAAGAGGTGCTCGAAGTCAGGACGCAAAACATCCAAGCATCGAGGCAAAGGCAGGAGAATTTCGTGGGAGACGTGTCGCGACAAACACATGCCGAGAGACTAGATCCGGGACGAACCGATTCTCCCTTATATCAGACACCTTCACGTGGCAGAAGCCCCAAACCTGCTCAATCTGGACCATACTCCACTGGAGCCGATGTTCTCAGCTTGGAACCCAGCAGCTCCTCGGCTCTATATTCTGGCACTGGTGCGCCCATGCACATGAACCAGTCTCAGCTTCAGATCATGGAAGAAGGCTCAACCTCCAGCGCATATCTGCAAGAGCGCGGTCAGGCTATAGAAGCGATTGAGCGCACAATCAACGAACTCGGCGGTATTTTCGGCCAGCTTGCGCAAATGGTCAGCGAGCAAGCGGAACAGATCCAACGAATCGATGCGAATACCGATGACGTGGTCGACAATGTCGAAGGTGCGCAACGAGAACTCATGAAATACTGGAGCCGCGTACAAGGCAACAGGTGGTTGATTGCCAAGATGTTCGGAGTGCTCATGATTTTCTTTTTGTTGTGGGTTCTGATTGCAGGATAAACGCTTTCGCTCCGCACATACCATTCGCTGTCTTGATCTGGGAATTTTGGATGCATAGCGCAGGCGGCCTTTGAAAGGCTCAGATAGGACGCGCTCACAGCAAAAACTATAGAGCATAAAGCGGCATTTCGGAGTCGCATTCTGGAATTTGGAGAATTCGCTGTTGTTGGCTACTGTACAGATGTCTTGAATACCTAACTAACTAATATCATGTAACGCGCTGGTCGTCTACTCACACTTCAAATCACGCATCGCAGCACCTACATCATCAATCACGTACGTGGATGTTACTCCTCACATATTGACGGAGACGGAATCGGAAGTGAATCTTGAGCTTGAGCTTCCGATAAAGCATCACGCGCCAGTCAACAATTCGAATCATGACATGGCCGCTTCTGTACGAGGAACACAGAACTGCTAGATCTGACGAGCAGGACACACCCGAGACAAAAACACTTCCCTACGAATTCACTCCACTATCCTCGATTGCACCAGCTCAAACGAACCCTGATCCCCAAGATCCAACCTCCCCACACCCTCACCAAATCTCAAGAAAAAATCTCAGCGCAAACCATGCCATCCTCCTCATCAGTGGAAATCCACCCTTTCAAGCCCCACATCGACATCCGCGAAGTCGAACGCCTGCACACAAAACTCCGAGACGTACGAATCCCACAATCCGACATCCTCCCAAACTCCGGCTCCGACTACGGCATAACCACAAAATTCGCAAAACGTCTCTACGACCACTGGCTCCAAAAATTCTCCTGGTCCGCAGCCGAAGCAAAAAATCGCACAATTCCATCACTGGACCACGGAAATTGAAACGTTGGAGATTACATTTTATCGATCAGAAATGTAAGCTTCCTACGACAGCGAAGAATGAGGGATCGATACCGATATTGTTGATACATGGATGGCCGGGTTCGTTTTATGAATTTCGTGACGTGATCAAACCGCTCAATGGAGCTGGGTTTGATTGTGTGGTACCTTCACTACCAGGTTTCTGCTGGAGTTCTGCGCCGAAATGTAAAAAATTGGAGTGTGAAAGATACGGCGAGGATTTTTGATGTTTTGATGCAGAGGTTAGGGTATTCGAAGTATTGCGTTCAAGCGGGAGATTGGGGGGCTATGGTGGCGAGGGAATTAGGAGCGCAGTATTTTGAGAGGTGTAGGGTTATGCATTTGAATTGGTGTCCGGGAGCTTTGTCACCGGAAGAAGAGGAAAGGACGGAATTGACGGAAAGGGAGAAGAGAGTGAAGGCGAAAGGAGAGAATTGGAGGACGGAACATGTGGGTTATGCTGTGTTGATGAGAACTCGACCGCAGAGTTTGGGTTGGATGTTGGAAGATAATCCTGTGGGTTTGATGACATTTATTGGAGAAAAAGTAAGTGAGACATACCTCACCCCATCCCATCCTCCTCAAACTAACACCATGTCTCCAGTACGAAGAAGCCTCCTCCTCCAACACCCACTTCTCCCCGCACTGGCTCAACCACATCCTCACCACCGTCTCTCTCTACTTCCACACGCGCTGCATCAGCACAAGCGCATTAATCTACTACTCCAACCCCCGCCACGACCAATTCGCCTCATACTGCATCCAAAAAGAAAATTTCATTCGTTGTCCTTTTGGATATACGAGTATGGGATATGATACGGCCCCGAATTTTCGGCGTGCGGTGGAGAAAACGGGGAATTTGGTTTGGTATAGGGAACGTGATGAGGTGGGACATTTTGCGTGTTTAGAGGATCCGAGAGGGATCGTGGAGGATGTTGGGGAGGTGGTTGGGAGGTGGTGGGATTGATGATGGTATTGTACTGTGCTAAGAAGAGGGGGGGGGGGGGGTGTAGGTGTTAGTTCTCTACATACTGGAAATCTCTCAGCACAGCATTGACTCCACCAATGGCGAGGAAGTGCATTGCCAATAGCGCGTGACTAAGGTAGGAAAACTAGAAATCCACGCAAATGTAAACCTCCTCCCACTGCCACAAATAATGCCGATTACTGACAGTCACAATCACTTGAGCTATTCTACATATTTGCAGCCAGGACTGAACCGGATGGCTGACGGCGCCTGTGTAACCCCGGCGATGTGGCGAGACTCGTATTCTCAGCTCGTGCTACCACCAACCCACAATTCCGCTTGGCATTGATGAAAGAAGTCATAGTAGCAGAAAAGGCGGTAGCGATCGAATAGTGGCAAGCATGCTCATGGCTATAAAACACAACACAACCATTCCAGCATCAACCACCCACACCTCCAACCACAACTCCAAAACAGATGTTCTCCTCCTCCTCCTCCTCCTCCTCAAAACTCCTCGCCCTCCTCCTCGCCCCCTCCACCACAGCAGCAGCCCTCTACTTCCACCTCTCCCCCTTCCACACCACCACCACCCCCACAACCCACGCCTTAAACTTCACCATCTCCAACCCAAACGCAGTCTACGAACAAGGCGGCTCCGCATCCCGGCACTGCAACCTCACCTGGTCCACCACCCCACCCACCTGCCTCACCGAATGCAGCGATTCCGGCTACCCCTACTTCTTCCGAATCCGTCCAGATTCCTACAAACATGCCGGGGAGTTTGAGTTGGAAGTGTTGGAGTATTATGTTTATAAGAATTCGGTGATCAATAATGCGACGATCAGTTTGAGGGAGGGGGAGGAGGGGTATGGGTGTGTGAGAGGGGGGGAGGGGAGTGTGGTTTGTGGGTTTGAGGAGGGGGAAGGGGTTGATGTGTCGTTTAAGGAGAGGTTTGGGGTGGGGTATCCGGAGGATGTTTGTGAGTAGGAGATAGGTTATTGGAGAGGGGAGGGTAAGGGTTGGAGGGTTGGAGATTGAGGAGGAGGGAGGAGAGGGTTGGTTGGAGATTGTATGAAGGGTCGGTCGGTATGATGATGATACAGCAGCGAAGTAAAGCAAGTGGGCGAAAATAGAGAAAAGTACGAGAAGGGCCCACATTCGGAACTGTTTCCATTCATTCATTTCATCTCTGCTCGACCCCATCTGATGGACTCACACCTTCCCTCCTCTCGCACTCATACTAGCTTCAGCTCGCCCTGCGTGAAGCTCCATGTACTCTTCAGTGTATCATTCAATACATTATCCTGACCGTAACGTGCGTTGCAACATGAGCTGTACACACACAACACTCCCAAATCTTCCAAGCCGCACCAGCATTAAAACGCCTCCACCTATGCCATCTCCCTCTTTTACTGGTGCCAAAACGCTAATAATGTACACACAAATGCCGTATCTTGCTGGTCGAATTGACGCTCGAACGCAGACCACTCGAAGTGAAAAATGAGATGCTTTACAACATCTTGGTAAAAGATCAGGCCGCAGAAGATGATGCTGCGTGCTAGTCGTTTCAGCTGCTACTGTCGTTGTTTCCGGTCCCGCCGACTGTCGTCCCGTTCCCGACGCTGATGGTGTAGGAGGTCAAATCTGCAGTGAAGCCATTCCCTAGCGTGACGTTATCAGCCCTGGTGCTGACGCTCGAGGAGGTGCTTCCAGTCCGAAGAAATGCTTGTAGATTTTCTTGCGCATCCGCGGCAATAGTAAGTTCCTGCGAAGACTGAAAGATATACAATACCGCCACTCTCGCGAAATCGAGCGTCTTGCTATCAGTGCTGCTTGTAGAGGTCGCTGTAGCGGTCGCTGTGGGTGTTCCCGAAGCATACACAATACCATGGCTCGTCGCGGCAGCGCTGCTGCTCGGCGAGTCGCCGTCTTGCCTCCGATTGATGGCTCTCAGGGAAGCAGAGCCCGGCAGTGTGTCAAGGAATGCTCGCTTCTGACTCTTGCTGTTGAATGTGACGAGGTTGTTTTGGAGACTGCAATCCATGTCTGAGCTTGAGAAGAGTCCGAGCAATTCCTGCGCGTCGAGTGGTATGCTGAAGTTGGACTCGGCTCCGCTGATTAATCTTGGTATAGCGTCGCCGACTGTCGCATTGTCCGATGATCCGACCGACGTGCGTGTACAACCAGCATCTGAGAACACCGAGCAGGTGAGACCAGTATACCCATTGATACAGAGACACTCACAGTACCCGCTACTGCTGAGAATATTAGTCCCACCATTATTACAAGTCAATTTCTGTTCGCAAGCTCCAACCTTTGTCGATGTGTTGTCGTTCTGTTTGGGAATGACGATCAACACGACGGGGACGATGACGGCTGCGGCGACAAGCAGGAAGAGGAGTACCATCAGTACCCAAAACGCCCAGACCGGCATGCCGCAGCATTTTCTCCTCCGCTTTACTCCACCAGCGTCACTATCGCTGGGAAGTTGAGAGTGACGAAAGCGTGAGCTCCAACGACCGTTTCGCGATTCAGGTGGTGTGGCGAGGGCAGGTGGCGGGAAGGCAAGGACGTCAGACATACTTCCAGACCGCCTCTTCTCGCCGTCTGCTGCACCATCCAGCCAGTTCATACCCAGCCGACTTGCGGTCTTGCCGCGATCCAAGTTTGAGGCGAGTTTCGTCGCTCTACGGATGAGGTCCGGTAAGCTGGTCAGCGAGCCGCGTGCTTCAGCATCTCGCACCGCGTCCACATTAATGCGCGGTGGTCGACGCTTGCCAGCACGATCTGCTGAGAGTCCGCCCATGGGCTGCTTAAGCTCTTGGGCTTCCTGTGCACTGAGCGCGCCTCCTTTCTCAAGACTGCCAATGATTGACTCCACACGAGGATCGACAGCTGGCGCAAGAGGCGAACGTGGCTGTGAGCGTACGGGATGAAGCTGATTTGCAAGCTCGGCACCAAGAAGATCTTTCGATCGCTTCCTGCGCAGCTCGTTACCCTCAGACTCAGAAGAGTCAGAAGCATCGATAAGTCCCGTGCCAGATCGCAAGACTTCTTCTGGAGTCTGCTTTCCGGAGGTCGGTTTTGACTCGGGCTGCTGCATGTAGCCTGCCGCAGTGGAGACAGCTACCGCGGGAGCAGCGATCTGGTTATCCTTCTGAATTGGTTCGGTGGCAGCACCTGGCCGCGTCTGTCCCTCAAGTCTCTCCTGGGCTAGAGCTCTTGATCGTTCTGTCCTTTCGGGAGTGCTTACTGTTTCTGGTACTGTTGGTTGCTGGCTCGGAAGACTCGCGATGCCACTCTTAGGGTCACCGGCTATACTTCCGCTGCTTTTGCGAACTCTGTCGCTACTCGTTACCGTAGTCAAAGTTGGTTTGCTCTTCTTGCCAAGACTGGCTTGCCGAACGACTGTTACTTCGGGACTCGAATTTTCTCGATACTGTTGATGTGGGTCTGGTGTTCGGATCTCTCCTCGAGCGATGGCCGGTTCTGTCGGCGAATCGTCAAAGTCTTCGTCTTCGTCGGATTCTGATAGCAAATCTGGGCGCTGTAGTGGCTGATGACCTGCTTCTCGGCCGCGCTCAAGATGAAGCTGGGAGATTCCAATGGGAATCGCATTGCTGCTGGCGAACGATGTCTTGCTGTCGTGAGCTCCCGTGTGCACGCTGCCAGTTCGTAAACTGCTTCCTCGCATGCTGTCTGTCTCCTCTGCGATTGGCATCACGGGAGCTACTTGAGGGTAGTAAGATGAAGGACCTCGTCGTGCAGACGGCGGCGGCCCAAGCGGTGGTCTTTGATTTGCGCGCCCATATACAGCCTGCTGGGGCGCTTGCGGTGCTGCGTATGTGGGGATGGACGAAGGCGTCTGCGACTGAGGCAGTGGTCTGCTCGGAGGTGGGAAATTTGGTGGAGGTGCGGCATAGCTGTAGCCTTCGCCATTCCATTGACCAGTCCCATGATGCGATGCCGGCGGAGGTGCTGGTTGGCGATACTGTCGAGCTGGTGAAGCTACATAATGACTTCGTGGCTGGTCTAGGATGGCTTGCGGATAGTGGGGCCGCTGAGGTTGCTCATCGGGTCTCTGAGGTCTTTGCGGCGGCCGTCTCGGGCTTCCGCGCGCAGGCGAAGAAGATGCATGAGGTTGAGCAGGAAGCGGCCATTGGTCGTTGCGAGTATCAACCTCTTGGTAGTCGTAAGCAGACCCGTCGTACATATTCTGAGAGATCTCCCATGCGTTGCTGTTCGAGTTGAGATAATTTTGCTGAAGCTGAGGTTCGTGAGGCCTTCGTGGACTACGAGCGTTATGAGCAGCCGGATAGTTGGGGTGGGTCATGGATGGCTGCTGGCGCATGCGATCGTGCGGACGAGGTATGCGACTCTGCTGCAGCGGGGGGTGGTCAGAGGCAGAGGCGTAATAGTCGGGTATGCCACCGCCATGGCCAAGGTCGTAGTAAGGTCGACTCATGTTACGAGCAAGGCAACGGAGGCGTGCGGGGATTCGAGCAGGTGCGGCGTAAGGGTCGTTGCAGCTGGCGCGGCGCGGCGCATGCAGGCGCGGATGGTGTTTTCGTATGGTTGGCGTGGCGAACGTGCGATGCGGGTTTGGTGGTGCACGCTTCCGTCAAGGACGTGTGGCCGCCAGTTGATTAGCAGAAAGTCGGTGCACTGCGGTGATGCAGCTGCGGGCAAGCTGCAGCGTCGTTCTCGAGCTCTGCTCTGCCGATGCTTGTGCAGTGCTGCCGCTGCAAAGGCCCCGCGCGTGTTTCTGTGATGCCGTGTTCCTGCACAGCAATGCGGCCTTGGCCACAGCCTTCTCCAGTCCAGTCCAGTCCAGTCCAGTCCAGCAATTGGCGAAGTCGTCGGTTCCTGGATTTTGGTGGCAGTGCTGCGTACGTGGCGCGGTTTGGGTGGTGCAAACGGAACGAGTGAGCGTGGTCCAATGCTGAATGAGTGGCTGTCGTGTGGTCCGACGTCGAGTTCACAAACACGAGCTGCTGCGATGACCGCGGACCATGCCGTGCCGCTCGCCGTTCGTGGGTGAAGGGCAGTGGTCAGTGGTGATGGCGAGGAACAATGATTAGTACGGCGCGTGGCTCGCCTTCCCGCGCGGATTGGCAGCGTTGGAGCAGCACGCAGCAGTCGGGAGGGTCAGTGTCCCTCTTCTTGAGCTCGCCGTCGGTCGAGAAGCTGGTGTGATATGCAATCGACAACCCTGCGAAAAAGAAGCAGATTGGCTTTTCGTTTCACTGACACGCACGCACCCTGGTCGAACTCAACTCGCCCCACCGAGTCCGAGAAGCAGGACGAGGCTATCACTCTACGCGTCTCCAGTCGTCCACGCGCTCATCTCGCCTCGTCTCATGTATGCCACAGTACAATTCAATAATTCCTTCAGTGCCGAACTGACCGAAGCCTCTGGTCGTCCACACGCTCCTGAAGGATTGCTGCTTGTCCCTTCTTGTCCCTTTCCCGCTCCCTTCCCTGTGGCGCTGTCGCCGCGCAGTCAGTCGTCGACGCCGAGTCGCAGCACGCCCGGGATGCCTTGGATATGAGTCGAGTCGAAGCCGGCAGAAGCGTGCGCCGGCAGCACAGGGCACTGTGATCCGAACCACTTCTGGACACGCGCAGTCCGCTAATCACGCTGTTTGTTCCACGTCTCACAGCAATACAGCACCCAATTTCGCAATGAACGTCCTCCGATCCGGGAGACAGAAAGTCTCCGCCTACTGGGAGACGCGCCCGTCACATCATCACACATTGCATTGCACCTGCTTTTGTTGATTCACGCAAACATCCTGAGACGCGCTGGAACGCGCTGCGCCGCACGATCGATCGTGTCACGCCATCTGGCATTCTGCTGCTGCTGAGCCCTTCTGCTGGAGCACCGCACCAGCAAATCAATTTCATTTCGCCCGCATTCCGTCGCATACCCAATTTGCGCATCACCACACGCTCAACCTCTCGGCTCTAACGCCACGTTGTTGCGGCCACGAGGCTGCGTAACAGGGGTTGAAACGCTGTGACGACGAACTTGAAAAATATCCAACTGTAATGGCAGGGCAGGGCAGGGCAGGGCAGGGCAGGGCAGGGCAGGGCAGGGCAGGGCAGGGTCAAGGTATATCTCAAACTTTCCCGAGCCTTGGGAGTGCGACCACAGTCTTGCGCAACACGCAGTCGACAATGTCTGGCTAAGAGGACATGTCGACACGACGTCAAGTGCCTCGTTCCACTACTGTATATTCTACAATGCTGTGCTGAGGGGACACTGATGCTGTGCTACACCATTGTGCAAGTCCGACTTCTCGACCTCATCGAAGAATGAAGTTCTTGGCTTCCTCTTCAAATCGGCCTTCCGCTTTCAGCTTTCTGACGTATTGACCGCGCATGACAGTATAGCAGTAACAGGAGCCCACGATGAGGTACTCGTCGCCCACCCGCCGCAATGCAAATGGTACGCTGGCTCCGAACAGTACTGCAACAATATCACCAGGCCGTGCATCGTTGGAAGCCATGCCAATGCGACCAGTATCTGTCACAAAGAACCGATGGTCCTGGCCACATTCGAAGAAAGCCGTCTGCCAATGTGCTCTGCTACCCGTGTCATACGAGACAGGTTGAGCATTCTGCCAGGACACATGCATGAAGCTTGCGTAAATTTCAACCTCTTCCTCGCTATGCTTTCGACTCGGCGCAAATTCTTCCATGTCGCCACGACACATATCATAGATGTCTTGATCGATTCCGGATTCCTTCAGCTTTGATTTCCACTTCTCAGCCTCCGCTGCGTGCGTGGCGTTGGATCGATCGAAAGGTTCCTTGACTATGCCAAGCTTCGACAGCACTACAGCATCAAGCACGTCGAATTGCTCTCTCTTGACATCATCTCTGAGCATGTTGAAGAGGTAATAATCAATAAACGCCCAACCATATTCTCTTCTAATCAGATCTTCGTACTCCTGCCCTTCTTCGCCTTCAAGCGGTGAGTCTGCCTCGTTGCAAAGCAGCGTCCAAATCATCTGCAGCGCAAGTGGTTCATCGTCAAGATCAGGATCCCCATACGACCTTGTCAACTCCCAAGCCTCATCAAACATCAACACTTCGTTGCGCTCCTTCGCCTTATGCCAGTCACGGCGAGCCTGGTGCTGGATCTTCCCAACCTCGATCCCACGGACACGCAACCTGTCACCATCATCTAAATCAACGCAAGCCTCCATAGGAATACCATCACATGGCAAAAGACCACCAGACACCACGCCGCCAATGTACGAATACCTAATATCGCCCCACCTCGGCACCCATGATGGCCAGCGCTCACCATGCAGAATTGGATGTGATAAGGTGAGAGTCGCATTCTGCAAGACGTCCAAGGTTCGATCGGTCTTGAACATGATGTGTTCAGTGGCTTTTTTGTACACATCGACCGTCTCCATCTCATAATTCGCATCGAAGCCAGCTCTTTCCTCATCCGATACCAGGTTCATCACAGCAAAAATTTTATCACGAGGATCAGTGGACTGCCGGTACGAAAGCAGACCCACCCTCCATTTCATTTTCATATCCTCCTCATCTCCCGAATGCCACATCTCGTGCACAAGCGTGCAATCTTCTGCGCTGATAAACTCTTCTCCGATATCCGAGGACGTACCCCAAGCAGCAGCCCGCGCAATGTGCATCCACGGAATTTCGCAGTCTCCCCAGAACGCTGTCGCTTCAGTCGCTAGCATGACTTCCTGTAGCATCCACACTCTCCTAAAATACCGTAAGCTCATCAAAGTCCTGAACGCCACCCACTTCTTCGAATCAGGCGATGGCAACCTCTCATGCTCCATCGTCCGAACGTCATCACCATGTGCTTTCGCTCCTGTTTCCCACCTGTCTTGCACATCCTCAATAAACTCCTTTGCATAACTCGCAAGTGCCCCCGCGTCATCGCCAAGATACATCAAAACACGGTCCGCGCCACTGAAGATCCGGTGCATTATGCCGACTTGTTTAGAGCGTTCAGCCACATCCGTCTGATTGATGCAGATTTGATCCATCCACAGTGCCCTCGGCTCAGTGGCATGGCGAAGACGTCGTAGAGCTTGAGCACCACTTTCTGTGATTACGAGGTGTTTTGCGAAACCTTCGATGGCAATTTCACTCCGGTCCAAGGCTGAACCCCAGAGGTAGCTGACTGCTTCGAACTGTGGCTTCTCGCTCAGATCGACATGGACGAGCTTGCAGTTTAGAGGATCTGCCCCGGTACCTGGGTACAGGTAAAGCACTCGAATCGCGTTCTCGGGTAGAGGTTGATACATTGCTACCGAGCCAAGAAAGGAAATATCTCGAGACGTGAGGTGCAAGGCAGTCACGATCGGGTCGGTGATACGTTGATCCACCATGCACTTTCCTGCAGGAGCGCTGCACCAGATGCTCTTGCCTTGACGACATACTTGACTTGACTGAGAGAAGTCTCTCGACATGACTTTCCAACATGCATGTGCCCAAACACGAAACCCAGACACAAGCACCCTAACTACTTACAAGCATAACATTCAGTATAGCGACAATAGGTAGCTATGGATGTAGACATGCTTTCATCACAGACGAAAGAGAACAGCTCGCCAGGTACTATGGAATCAAGACCAGGATAATGTTAATGTCAAGCCTTTCACTGACACTCCACGCAGTACATTATCCAGAACTTCCCATCCCATCGCCGCATCCTCCCACATGTTCTCCAACATGTCATACACCATCGAACGTCAGTCGCAAGCGAACTCCCCGACTAGCTGGCCTGACGGATACTCCTGCTCGGCCTTCATACGCACAGCAGATGTTGAAGCATTGGTCGACGAGCACTCCTGGGAAGAGCCAAAGAAGCAAGAGTCCACAGGAAACGTCGGATGCTGTCGACAGCGGCATCTCCTCTCCTGACTCGCATGAAGACCCTTTGAACGATTTTGAGCGGGCCGTCGCAATGCAAATTCCCGATTCACCCAAGTCGAAACAGCGGAGGAAGACTTTGTTCATCCCGGGTCCGCATTGTCGTGAGTATGGTAGTGATGACACTTCTGAGGCTTGGACTGGCGATGAAATTTTCCTTGGGAAGAGGGAAGGCCCGAGAATTGCGAAAGTTTCCAGGTCGTCTGAACGATGCAAGCGTAACGGCCACGCAAGTCCTTTGAGGAATTGTCTGGCCAACAGTCCACCAGAGGAAGTGCCCTAGAAGGGCAGTGACGACTCTGCGCGTGTCAACTTCAAGAACGAAGCAGACGAAATGAACGAGGAGGCGTTCTTTACCGCGCGTCAAGACATCCCAGGTGGTATCGATGACCGTGAAGACTCTGAGAAGAGTCCTTCAGCACGGGACTCGAGTGTCTCGAGCCCAAGAGAGGAGGTTAAAGGCAGCAGATTTTTCGACATGCGTCGTGCTCCTCTCTATCCCAAGTTACCTGAATCCGCAAACAGCACCGATCTCGATCTATCACCAGCTCCCACCACAACATCTAAACAGATGCGCGTCTTCCAAGAGAATCTCCAAAAATGGAACAAGGCCCAGCTGGCGAGACCACGAATGTCTCGATTCTACCATCCCGCGGCAGTAACGCGCGGCACGTGTCGTAAGTGCGAGGCTTGTTTCTTGCGTGCAGAATAGAGAGCTCGAGGGCTGATACTGCCTGGAAGGTCCCAATGTTCGATCGCAGTCTAAAGTGGTTATCAAGTCTGCGAAGGAATTTCCCTTCCAACCAACGCTTCTGTACAGCACATGCCGTAAGTCTTCGATACTTGCGTGAGGTATAGTGCTGAAGTATACTGTCTAGATCTGCAGACCAAGACGCAAACCGAGGTGACTGTCGAATTGGAGCATACATCGAGCGATGCAGATGATGAGGATGAGAGCCAGGTCGAGGAGGCGGGAGACAGTTCAGTGTGATGAAGACGATATCTCGCACCCCCTTCAGTTTGGATAGGACACGACCAGGCTGTATGAAATTCTGCAACTTTCGCTAGCATCGAATAATTCTTCAGGCTTCGCTCTTCGTTCTTGTCTCAAAACTGCTTCTGAACTTCAGAGTCGCTGTATCGTCTTGATCGCATTTCTCTCTGGCTGGCAGGAATCTTGCCAAGCTCCGTCGCCTCACTGCTGACTTGAACAACCGTCTCAGTCTTGACTGTAAACAATTCCTTACGACTCTCATCCCTCTGATATCGAATCACGTTAAGCTGCGACATCTTGATTCGAATCATGCATAGTAGCATCAATCGTCGTACTGGTCCCAAATTCGTATTCTGGCTGGTAGTGCGTGAATGAATGTGTGTAGAGGTCGTGTATTCTTATAAGGTAGTAGAGATCTCTTCTTGATGGAATGGAGAAGTATGCTAGAAATTTATCGCTCTATGTAATTATACGAGACTGGAAGGCAAAGGCTGGTTAATTTTTTTTGGAGTCGGGGCAGTGTGTATATAACGGAGTCTAGATGATTGGGTACACGATGAGGATTGAGCTCGGACCTCACTTCACTCACGACCACTTTCACATGCAATATGAGCAGTAAATCCGGAATGGCTTGTGACGTCTCGCACAAAATCACGCGTGCGCGCATCTTGTGGCTGAGCGAGTGCCATTTCAACACATCACATACCCGCCCGCCTTGACTTCCACACAACTCGCATTATCATGGCAGGCACAGAAGAGATGACGGACTGGCTCGTAAAGCTGAAAGTCAAGCGCTACAGCGACCAAGAGTGTCGCGCCGCCATCAATGGAGAAGCAATTCCGACCGCCCTCGGCCTACCTCTCTGCTGATCTCATCTGCAGTCCATCGCTTCAAACTTCTGATCACAGCATCGAGACTGGGACATGATTTGCGACGCGCATTTTTACTGTTTACGACATCATCGAGAACCCAGAGGATGATCCATTTGCGATCATTGGCGGTCTTCTGGGTGCCATTGGGAGAGAAGAGCTCATGGCTGCACGTCTCGCTAAGATTTCATGGTCTTATTATCTGTCGCTCAGGAGCATTTATTTCTCCAACGCGAGCGGCATGAAAATAGCACGCGGGCTCGTTTGTCGTCCAGAGACAAAGAATGATTGTCGAGACTAGATATGGAAGATTATACTGTAGCGGCGATCCCGATCGAAGGAGAAAATGTTTTCCTTTCGGTGTTGTTTGCGGATCGACGTTGGTAGGCGTTCCCGGCACGGGTCGATTGTGCGGCTCTCCTTTTTCTTCCATTAGAATACGTTTGCAGACATCTTCTTCTCAGCTTCATCTGAACGATTCTGTCTTATCAGTCAACAAGCATCCTCGAAATGCGAGACCTGTTCCTGGACCATGAGGAACGGAAAGAGCTGTGAAGAGTAAGGTGCAAGACGTTCGGTACAGAAGGGTGGAGAAGGCCGGAGGTTGGTCCGGGAAAGCCCAAGATGCTAGAAATCTTCCAATACATTTTTTTCTCGCCGTTCGGATTATAAGAGGTGCTCGGAATTGATAGGGACTATACAACTGGACATGGAAATTCTCTGAGCCTCTTTTGAGCTCTCGAGAGTGGAATCTTCACGCTCGAGATGCTCCGGAATCGATCCATGTCTTCAATCAAGCTTACATGTTAGAACAGCAAATCCAAGCTGACCAATCAAGCGTGTCGCTTGCCCTCGGTCGTGAGTTAAACCGTTTGGTTCAGTCTGCGTCTCATAGGTTCTAACGTCGTACAGAAATGGTCTAGTGGTATGAGTGAGTAGACATCATGCTTCCTGGTTGCGATTGTGGCCTTGCGTCCTGACAATCGGCAGTTCTCGCTTAGGGTTCACCCTAAGAACGAATTGCGAGAGGTGTACGTCCAACTGGTCCAGCGAATTTCTACCACATGCTGACTTTCATGTAGCCCGTGTTCAATCCACGGTTTGACCCACTTCTTTTTTGGCGTGGTAGGCCTAGTATAATCGTGGTATAAGTGTAGAAATGGACTGAGAATCCCAATTTTTGGCGGAAAGAGCGCCAAACAAGTGGGTTCGCAACACAACACAGCTCAGAGCTGTAGAGATGATAGTCGTCAACATATAGTTTGGTCGACGTGGCATAGTTAACGCTGTCTTCATAATGCAACATCGAATGTCATCCACACAGTCAATTCTTCTTACCAGTAACAGAAGTGTATACCGCGTTTACTACTATTCAGTCCCTCCTGGCCTCAAAGTAGAAGCTCCTCGGTACCTATAATGTTTCGAGATATGTCGAAATCCAAGTCTTCCTGCTGAGCGTGTACAGAAGCGGTTTGAGAGAGTGATCAACTGTGACAGTACATCCCAGATTCCTCATTCCCAATGAACTTCGACGCATTCCTGTTGTAGATGCTCAAGACCTCGATACGGATCATTGGTATATGTCCAACCGACGGGCGTGTGCGACCATGGCAAGTCCGATGAAAAGCTTGGCGTTGGCCTGAGGCGCAACTTTTTCTCCCCTTTGCTCACTCGAAATCAAAAGCAATTGAACGGTGGGCGTTCCGCGACAATGACGCACTCGGCAGCGGACTTTCAATAGTCAACGTCCTGCACTATTTTGAGCCAGGGCGAATGCGAGGAACGTGAGGATCAGCACTACTAAGCGATGAATTTGAGAAGTAGTTCCAGACCTACCGCACGGCAGCTCGGTCAGCTCAGGCTTGCGACGCACGAAGGAACAAGGAGAAGAGGAGGGAGATGGAAGACCTCCTCACTTGATACTCAGTCAGAGGCGTCGAAGGGACAACAAGCGAGATAATTTAGGGATGACAGGAGTGCTTGCTTGACTCATCAAGAGGAGCACGTCGAACTCTGTGCACGCCAAAGGCCATGCCAATTTCTATGCCGCAAGCCTGTTCGGTAGCATATTCTCACGACCGCACTCCTTGCTCACGACCTCTTCTGCTGCTGTTGTACTTCGTCAACGGCGTGGCCGTGCTCGGTGGACAATGTGCCGGGTCGCGTACAGCATATGCAGCCGTGGAGTCGGTGCAGCGGAGATCAAGAGCCCATACATATTCTACGGTCATGCCGCTCGTGTCAGCGATTCTCCATAGCCGTAACCACGGCCGTCATCATCAGCACGATGGCGTTGTGAAGGACAGCAAGGCTTAGGCATAAATCCGCCGGCGCCAGTCTTGTGAAAAGGCAGCAGCAGCAACTTGGGATGCAGTCCGGCTCCACCGTTGTCCTCCCTGCCCCTAATCGGAGGAGATCTGCACAGCGGAAGATGAACGCACATCGTCAGCCTGTCAGATCGATGGATTCTGAGGCAGTGGTGCTCGAAATAGTCATGTCCGAGCCTGCTCCACAGTTATCCGATCACGCTAGCTTCGCTTGGCGATGTGCAAAGCCTAAAAATGAGCACGCTCAGCTAAACATGTGCGTGCATAGCCAGGGATTACGGATGCTTCACACGTTTCGGGCAACGGTTCTGGGCTACGTCGTCCAGCAGGATGGAGACGATCGCGTGTGCACGGCTGTCATACGCCGCAGCGTGGACTCTGACGCCGCGATACCGGAAGCAGAGTAGGGAGATGCGAGGGCCGCTGCCACATATACACGGCAGCACCTTGGCTGCGCTCAGAGGCGCCTTACGTCCCAACATTCCCTTTCCTGACCCGTCGACAGTTCGACACCATGTCACAAACTCCTAGAAGTACTGTAGGGACTGTGAAGTCTTGGAACAGTCGCTACAGTGGATGGACCGACGATTCATATGCCCTGCAGAATAGGGCCGTGGAGGAGATGGATCAGGCGAGATTACGACCTAATCGAGACACGCACGAGGAGTTTCCATGGCTATCACAGGAATTCGAACCCATACGATCAGTAGCAGATGCAAAGACCAATAGGCCGCCGCAATGGTTCAAGGAGGGTCAACAACATAATCGAAATCGATCAGTACGATCACAAAGGAGTGGCCCGCGAGAAAGTATTGTCGACTTGCATCTTATCGTCTCCGATCTCGATTATTATGCCGGAGCTGTACACGATTACCAGGCCGAGGAGGAGGCAGATTTTGAGGAGGAGATGGCAGAGGCGGGCTATGACGAGGAGCAGGGATGGCCACAGCAAGGCCAACAAGCGCCTGATTTTGGCCGAATACAGATCGTGCGAAATGCATCGAAGATGGGCAGAAACGGAACAGTGAAACGAAACGCATCCTCAAGGTCGAAAAAGGGCGAGAAGGATATCAATCTCGTAACTTGGGATGGCCCCGACGATCCAGACAACCCGAAGAATTGGACCAAGCAGGCGAGATGGATGGCAACACTCACAGTCTCGTTGTTCACATTCATCTCACCTGTATCCAGTTCCATGGTCGCTCCAGCGTTAACGCAAGTTTTGACAGACTTTGGACTGGACCCAAGCAAGTCGTCAGACAGAATGCAAGCAGAACTGGCCATGTCTGTGTTCATTCTCGGGTTTGCCATCGGACCTCTGGCTCTCGGCCCACTTTCTGAGCTTTTCGGTCGACGAATCGTCCTGCAGCTCAGCAATTTGTTCTACTTCGCGTTCAACCTCGCTTGTGGTTTCGCAAACAACACGGGCACACTCGTTGCGTTCCGCTTCCTGGCTGGTCTTGGAGGCAGTGCGCCACTCGGTATTGGTGGTGGCGTTCTTGCAGATATCTGGCTGCCCACGGAGCGTGGTAAGGCTATGGCTTTCTACTCGCTTGCGCCTCTACTCGGTCCGGCAATTGGTCCAATCGCTGGTGGTTTCATTGCTCAATACTCAACCTGGAGATGGGTCTTCTACTCCACGTCGATCGCAGCAGTATTTGTTCAGCTTCTTGGCTGGTTCTTCCTCAAGGAGACATACGCTGCCGCTGTCTTGAGCAAGAAGAAGAAGCAGCTCATCAAGATTACTGGGAACAAAGAGCTTCGCACTGAATTTGACAACCCATCTCGAAGTCTTGCAAACCACATTGGCGTTGCATTCAAGCGACCATTCATCCTGCTCTTCACGCAGCCAATCGTGCAAGTTCTGGCGCTCTACATCGGCTACGTCTACGGCGTGCTTTACCTGGTCTTGGCTTCATTCCCAGTGCTGTGGATGAGAGTCTACGGCGAAGGTCCAGCTATCGGTGGTCTCAACTATATTTCTCTCGGTCTCGGATTCTTCCTCGGAACTCAAGTCGCTGCCAGATTCGCAGACAGGATTTACAAGAAGCTGAAGGCGAAGAACAACGACCAAGGACGAAGTGAATTCCGTGTTCCTCTGATGTTCCCAGGTGCAGTCATGGTTCCTGTCGGACTCCTAATTTACGGCTGGTCTGCGCAATACAAGACCCACTGGATCGTGCCAAACATCGGTACAGCAATTTTCGCAGCAGGAAATCAACTGGTCTTCCAGAATTGTCAAACATACCTGGTCGACGCGTACACCCGTTACGCAGCCTCCGCGATTGCAGCAACTGCGGTCTTCCGATCCCTGGGAGGTTTCGCTTTCCCGCTCTTCGCAGATCAGATGTATCAAGCACTCGGCTACGGATGGGGAAATACCACGCTGGCATTTGTCGGAATTGCTATTGGCTTCCCAGCGCCTTTCATTCTCTGGTGGTACGGAGAAGCACTCCGCAAGAAGAGTACTTTCGCAGCCGGCTAGAGCTGATAACGAGCACTTGAGATGAAGTCACGATTTACTATGTCACGCATTGCTTGCAAAATTTCATGAGCGAAGGCGCTTTTGCTTTGGGAGGGATAGTGAGGGCAGAGGCATGAGAAGCTCTCTTATCATTTCGTATAATTTTTTTTTCTTCTTCAGCATTGCTCACTCACGAGTTTGAGCAGTTGTATAATGCCAGAGATACCAATGACCTGAATCAACCGAGTGCGATCAAACGAGCAAACAAGCACTGCCCACAACGGAGACATCACTCATCCTCGATCCTCAAGGCTGAGCACACCAAGGGCTGTCATCGGGGAATCCGTGCATGTAGGATCAGACGCCTTTCTCTTGAGTTTCGGCATCCTGCATGCCACCATTAGGCGGAGCCGCGATACCTCTGCACGGTGACATTGCGCAGCAGAAGGAGCAAAGCATATACCTATTTTGCCAGTATTATTGCTGACTGCTTGCGACCTGACGTATCGTAGAAGCATGAACGAATTCTGAAGTAAGCAGTAGATAAGCAGTATCGGATGATAGTTTGGAAAGAGAACATCTATGCAACCCCATCAATTCCTAAGTTTTGATTTTTGCGAGAGCGAGTTGATGAGCACAGAATATCTGGGCGAACTTGGCAGACTCCACTGTCGCGTACAACCTTTTCCAAGCCACCAACACCGACCAACCTCAAACCGGACCGATCGAGCTTACTTCTCTTCCTTGCTTGCCTGTTCCTTGCCAGATTTTGAGCGCGGACTTTGCGGAGCCTGTGTTTCGACTGCTGCTTGGACTTCGGTTGACGGGTTTGTAGGCGGTGCTTCAGCAGTGTTACGACGTTCACTTGTGTGTGTTGTCCTTGCGAGCGGTCCCTGGGCTGAGCTCCTGTTTGAGGACGCATTGACGTTGTTGACGGGTCTGTTCCTACGGCGGGAAGATAGAGCGGATCGTGGAGCAAGTGCGACATCCGCCTCCGCAAGCTGGACAGCCAGAGGTCGGGAACGTCTTCGCAGCCTGTTCATATCTATTGGGCTGATGTAACTTATGTCGTCCCTGTCGTCTGCCGGAACAACATCTTCTTCTATGCTTGCTTGTTAGCGTTTGTTTTGAGACAAGTCTGAGAGAACACACCATTGTCGCGTCCCCGTCGATTCTGAGTTTGAGCAGAATCTCTCCTCCCCATGTACGCTTGTCGTTGAGGTGTGCGGTTGGCGCGACTTGGATCCATTTTCTGCAAGCCATTAGCATGTGACAAGAGTGGACAGAAGCCTTATCTCGCACTGCCGTGGAAATTAATGTAGCGAAAGATTGCTCTCTGATAATAGCTTGGTATGAGTGTGTAGGACTGCTTTGCTTCGACGTTCGGAAAAGACCTGTTGATGTTGATTGAGGTAGCAGATGGGAGAATGCCTCATAACGGCGAGCAGTGAGTCTATTACAGCAAGTGCTTCTCAATTATTGCGCAGCAGCTAGTCATCCAACTGGCAACTGCCAGCCAGCCATGAAATGCAGGAACACAGGCTTGCGACATGTTCACTCTCAAACTGGTGAAGGATAGGTATGGCTCTTTCGACCTGGCAGAGCCAGGTGCATCGATTCTGTCACGATCTGTCGCCTTCGCCGAGGAGGTATGCCATATCCATAGTGAAGTCTGCTGGGTAAGTCGTTCGTTCATGGCAATGACAACGGGTAATCGTTCTCGCATGTGGCTGCTCATACCAGGCCTCCGGCCAGATCACCATCAGCAGAATCTACGACCGCCTGAAGTAGATTCATATCGCTGTTGAATGCTAGATTGGCAAGCCTTGTTGCCAGACGCCTTGAGTGAATGAGACAAATGGCGCCTTGCATGTGCCCGCCGGCCGTGTCCAATATCACCAGATACAGGTACCAGGCTACTAGCTCACATTGAGTGTGCGTGACGATGGTGTCACGCAGTCACGTAGCTGCTACGCATGCATGCATGAGCTCTTCCAACCCATGTCGGCGACCAATCCCCGCCGACGATCGACATCATCTGAACAACCACCCTCGAGCTCTCGCTGGTTTTATATGTATTTCGCCCCTGGGACTTCTTCGGGAGCTGCGAAGTGTCTTACATATTGTCGATGAAAGGGAGATGAAGAATCAATAGACCGGGGGTCATCTCACCAAGGGATCGCTGCGGAGTGGGTCCAGGTGGTTGACAAGGACACCTCGCAGCGTAGAACCTGTGCACAAACTCTCCACCACCGACAATACTGTCGCCATATATTATTGCTGTATACGTGCAGTGCACCAACACAGCCTGCTAGTGGTGTGCCGCCTTACTTGTCCTCCCCTCCCTCGATCACATGCAACATAATCCCTCTCATATGACGCCTAAGGGAAGGATTACGCCTGACAGGACGGTGGAGCATATTCTTCCCTCTCCTTGCATAGATATCGTTCCTGTCCTTCCGTCTCTCACTTCTTCAATACCACGATTGCCTTCGCGGACTCGACTGGCTCATAGACGATAGCATTTCAATACAGCGATAGCAACTGGCCGGACCCAGCATGGCTTCTACACAAGAGAAGGACGAGGCAGGTCCTCATCCGCATGAGCAGGCGGCGAATGGCCGCGCAAACAGACGCTTCGACTGGAAGCTTATGCTTGGTCGTCGAGAAGACAGCAGTGCCAATACGAAGAAGAGCCAGACGACATCCGACGAAATGCGTTTAGGGCCTGAGTACGAAAGAGGCAGCAAGAGCAAGCCAACAAGATGGAACATGGGCATGCTGAATCCAGATACTGAAGAAGTACCTGGCTCGGTCTTGCTGCTGAGCAAGGTCTCGCAGTTCAATGAGCCGCTTGGAATGCGCAATGCGCCCGCGAGAAACTCGACCTCATCATTTCCACAGTCTCCACGACCTCGAGCTCCCTCGCGTTCGAGCTCTTCTACGAGCATACGCAGATGGCGGCTTGGCCTTCGCCAACCAGAAAAGAAAACTACAGCGGACGGCAAGTTCGTTCTCGAACCGCAGCCTGACGATAGCGCCAACGATCCGCTGAACTGGAAAGTCTGGCGCAGAGACGCAGCGCTGCTGTCTCTTGGCTTCTATTGCATGGTCGGCGGAGGCATGACGCCGATTCTGGCTGCTGGATTTCACGATGTTGCGGAAGAGTACAACGTTTCTGTGCCACGGGTCGCCCTGACCACAGGACTATACATGATGGGACTTGGACTGGGAAGTGTAGTGCTCAGTCCTACGGCCATTCTATACGGCAAGCGACCTGTCTATCTGATCGCCGCCGTCTGCTTCATACTCTCCGGCGTCTGGTGTGCCTTGTCGCCTAACTTTGCCAGTCTCGTGTGCGCTCGCATCTTTCAAGGCTTTGCTGTTAGCAGCGTTGAATGCCTGCCTTCTGCTACAGTTGCCGAGATCTACTTCTTACACGAAAAGGCATACAGATTAGGTATATACACGCTTCTCCTGCTGGGAGGCAAGAATCTCGTCCCGCTGGTCAGCGCGGCGGTGATACAAAGCCTGGGATGGAGATGGTAAGCCATGCACTTCTACCACGAATGTGGACGCAACTGACATGATGGTAGGGTGTTCTGGGTGGTCGCCATGGTCGTGGGCTTTGGACTTTGTCTGCTCTTCTTTTTCGTCCCAGAGACCTTTTGGGATCGTTCGCCTATACCCCATAAGCAGCGTCAACGGCACAGCAACTTCAGCATGTCTCATGTCATCAGGACCTTGTCGCGTCCAGGAAGCCCAGCTGCGGAGCGCAAAACGCACAAGGAGGCTGCAAGTATACCAGCAGACAACCACGATCATCCAGAACCAAAGTCGGAGCGACATGCACACTTTACTACTGAAGCTTCAGAAGACGAGAAAGATGTGCAATCTGCGGATCAAACGCCTGCAGAGAAGCCAGACCGCGAGCAACTCAAGGTTGAAGCTGCGCCGCCATCGCCACAAACACCGAAGGCGCGGTCGTTCGATGAGCATAAGATATCTGGCGAGGATTACTTCAACAATCGACCGGTATCTCCAGGCCACTTGGAAGAGGCTCATCCTCAGCTGTCGCGAGTGCCCACCGATCTGAGCGATCATCACGACCCGCGGAACGCATACACCAAGCATTTCTCATCCCAACCAGCAAAGTCGTATATCGAACAGCTCCGCCCGTGGTCCGGACGCATGACTCGTGATAGATGGCTGAAGGTCGCAGTCCGCCCATTCATCCTCTACACTTATCCTTCCTTGTTATGGTCGGCTCTTGTGTACTCTTTGTCCATTGGCTGGCTCATCGTCCTTTCCGAATCGGTGACCACAATATACATCTCTCGCGACAGCTACAACTTCACGTCTTTACAGGCTGGACTGGTCTATATTTCGCCATTCGTGGGCGGAGTCCTGGGCACTGCAGTCGCTGGAAAAGTGAGCGACGTCATAGTGCGGTGGATGGCTCGACGGAACGGAGGCATCTACGAACCAGAGTTCAGACTTGTCATGGCCATACCAATTGCCATCTTCACCGTCATTGGGCTCATGGGCTTTGGTTGGAGCGCACAAGAACGCGACGCTTGGATCGTTCCCACCCTTTTCTTCGGCTTCATATCCTTTGGATGCTCTCTCGGATCGACAACCAGCATCACTTTTGCCGTGGACTCTTATCGTCAGTACGCTGGCGAAGCGCTCGTCACCTTGAATTTCAGCAAGAACATCTTGCACGGTCTCGTTTGGAGTCTGTTCTTCAACCATTGGCTTGAGTCCGATGGAAGTCGAGATGTCTTCATTGCGATCGGAGGAATTCAGTTGGCTTGCCTGCTAACCACTATACCTATGTATATCTATGGCAAGAGGGCGAGAATGTGGACTGTCAGGAAGAATTTCATGGAGAAATTTTAAGCGCATTATCGCATTTGCATTTTTGGATTGGAAGGAAGCTGGTTGGATAGATGCAGGTTCCACTTTATGAGCAATCCTTCGTCGATCTCGGCATGAAGTCCGTGGTTGGATAGTGATGATGAAGCATGATTCGACCACAATAATTCCATGTCTGGAGGCTGGGATGGACGTGTTCCGCTTGTTTTGGTCCCGACGAGTTATCCTCAGCTTTCATTCGAGGAGATTGCGAGGTTGGGGAAGGGTATTAGAGCTGCTGTCATGGGGATGAGGAAGGCTTTTGCGAAGATTCTTGAGGATGGGGGGGCTGGAAGGGGTTTCAAGTGATATTGCTACTGTTGCTGAGATGTTTGAGCTTCAAGGTGATGCGAAGATGCGAGAGGTCGAGCAGATGATGGTCGCGGACGACGCGTGGCAGGACGAGAGCCTGCTAAGCTGTCGCCTCACTCAGTAGAGATCCGAATCGAGGTCGGAGATCAGACTACCGCTTGCCAAAGATCAACTTCCTGAGTCGAGCTGCATTGCGTATGCATTGCGCACAGATGTTGATGATCTGCTCTGAATAGGTTCACCCGGCTACGCGATACCCGAAATACGGCTTTGCTTTCTTCACTGAATATCCCTCCCTCAATCGCACGTGGCAGGTTCTCGGAGATCCAAACACGAAATGCCCCTCACTTGTTCTCTTCTTTCTTGCCGTGCCAACCTTTCTTCTGCCCTTCACATACTCGCTGCCATGACCACTGCCGCCGCACCCGCCCGCCCTCCCTCCCTCTATTTCACCATCAGAGCGACTTCTCACCGCTCCAGTGCCCCGTCAAGCGCCTATACAGGCCTAGTTTACGATGGATTTCCGTGTCTTCCGTGGCACCTGTATCGGTTCTCCGATCAGTCTGATTGAACCGCTTTCATTGATTTCCAATGGTTTCCTTGAGCGACCGCGTCAGCGCTGGAGCGAGCGGCATTTGCTATCCGGTCGCAGGTGCGGCGAAAATCTCCCCTCGATTGCTTGCTGAGGTACTGCTATGCGAATTGTGTCCATATGACTTGAACGATCAGCATATCACGATTATTATTCTGGCAGATGGTCAATGTGCGACAGAGCCCTTGGCAAGCCAAGACACAGCAGATTAGTCTTGAGATTACGAGATTTTCTGGTTTGTCAGCCAGGAAAGGACAAAGAAAGCAGGCGTTTACGGCCCGGCTAGTGCGTCCCAAAGCATTATTTGTCGAGTGCTCATTGCCGTCAGACGCGGCATACTGTGTGTTTGTGATCAGATCGGAACTGCAGGCAGGACGAGTAATGACGAGAGTTGTGCAGAGAGTCGCGAAAACAGCGCAAGAATTGATCAGAGCCGCGGACACTGACAGAGCAGCGACTCCCGTGGCCTGAGCGCATTCCAGCGCCGATTCTGACTGGCTGGATCCGCCTCGATGCTCCATCGTCCTCAAAGAGCACGTGATATTGCGTGATTGAACTGATTTCAAAGTCCTTTAGAGCCCTCACTACTGGTGCCGGCAGGACTCCGCGGGAGGGCAATGGCGATTGCGTGCTCACATGCAAGTGTGTCCTCGAGCCCATCTCTTCTTCCAACCATTATTATTTCCTTGTCATCACCCAGTATCGACGCCATCCGTAGCCCTTGCTGAAGAGACCAACTGGACTACACATCACGTTTGCCCGTCGCCTCAATTGACCGCCGCACCCCTCCTCTTGCGCCATGTCTTACCACAACAGATCGTCTTCCGACATGGAAGTAGAATCCGGGTATGCCAGTGGCAGTTCGACCGCTTCGCTGCCAGAAGTGTACTTCTCGCGGCCACATTTGAAGTTCATCAACTCCCAACTCTCGAAGCTGGAACCGCCCGAGGTCCTCAAATGGTGTATCGCATCTCTGCCGCGCCTCTTTCAGACCTCCGCCTTCGGCCTCACAGGTCTCGCCATCATGGATATGATCTCCAAGCTTGATACACCTCTTCGCACTGACATTGAGCTCATCTTCCTCGACACTTTGTATCACTTCCCTCAAACCCTCGACCTCGTTCAGCGAGCCAACCAGAAGTACTCGGGCATGAAGGTGCACACATACAAGCCACAAGGCTGTGAGACGACCGCCGACTTCGAGGCTAAGTTCGGAGAGAAGCTGTGGGAGGTCGATGAGGAGAGATACGACTACGTCGCCAAGGTTGAGCCAGCTCAGCGCGCCTATCGAGAACTCGATGTGAAGGCCATTATTACCGGTCGACGACGGACCCAAGGCGGAAAGCGAGGTGATATCGATATTGTCGAGATCGATGATGCGGGCCTCATCAAAGTGAATCCTCTCGCAAACTGGTCGTTCAAGGAGGTTCAGTCGTACATTCAGGCCAACGACGTGCCAACCAATGATCTGCTTGACCAAGGCTACCGATCAATCGGCGACTGGCACTCCACTCAGCCTGTGACTGACAGCGAGGATGAGCGCGCCGGCCGCTGGAAAGGACGCCAGAAGACCGAGTGCGGTATCCACAACAAGCGAAGTCGATATGCCCAGTACCTCGCAGAGCAAGAAGCCAAGCGCCAGCAAGAACTGAGCGACGCAATAAACCAGGGCTTGAAGATCGGGGCGGCCGAATAACAATCGCTGATTGAGGGTTTCGATTTCGGTATGAAGAGTGTGGTCTAAATCAAGGACCGACTTGACCCAATCCCTTCGCTGCACACCAAGCGTTCGCCATGCTGAAGGACAGCGCGGGTGTGCTTTGAGACGATGGATTGAGAGTGGATTTCCTGAGCTGCTAGAGCATTAGACGACTTGTGATTAGCATCGGCGTTGGGGAGAATCGAGAATCAGGCCAACTTTGCATCGCGTTCGGCCTTGAAAAGCGTGCTACATGACGAATGGCGCGCATCTGCTGGTGGTTACGGTACAGATAAACGCTTCATGAATGAAAGATATCAGATCATACTTGCCGGTTCATCCTCCCATTGGCGCTTTCCTGTCTTGTCTGCCGAAGAGTCTATGAAGCTGAGAATCGCGACCTATGTTTGCTGGATGTCCGGTGTTGTCTTGAGAGGTCCTCGCGAATGACAGAATGTGCCAACGGCCGTATGATCGTGCTCCTTGAGCTCCGAACGGATGCGTCACCAAATGATGGTATTGCGTGTCGACTGACTGCAAGCAGAATCTTCGCGGTCGATCATGCCATCAAAGTGACCTGTCTCCTCATCGCTGTCACGTGGAAGTGACCCCAGCCGCGTCCCAATCGTCAACATGAAGAACAAGTCGACCACGACACCTCATGTTCCCCCAAGAAAGGCTTTTGAGGCCTCCAGAAGGCGTTGAAGGCCCAAGTATCATATTATTGCAATGAAGAAGAGGAGAGAGAGCGGGAAAACGGCGAAGGTGGGAGGTCGCAGAGGAGGTTCTTCGGAACATCGGAAGGAGCGAGGGAGGTAGCGACGATCCGGCTCAATGAGCATGAAGCTTGAGCTAGTTATTATCTAAGACTGCATCTGTTCAGGCCAATCTTTGCTTGATATGTTCCATGCTGCATGTAACTTATGACTTTGGGTGTAGGTGTGCGACGAGGCGTGGGATGGCTCACGAGTACGGGAAAACGTGGCCGCGAAAAGATGGAACGGTTGACTGCGACGGCGTTCGTGGACCGCTCATCACCCATTTGGACTGAGAAGATATTCTACCATCCTGGTTCAGTGGCCGAGTTCCGATTGGGAACCATCCTGCATGAGTGAAGACGTCGATCGTATGGCAGCGGACTACTACATGAAGTAAAGATTGAAATAGGACGTAGAAATTCCATACCTACCGATGACAATCGTCCTGCAACTAGTTACATCAATTGAGCAGTAAAAGAGATTGAAGGTTCGGTGGTAGATCACAAGTTGCCTAACTACGATTGACCAATGCTGATCTACATTCGCAGAGGACTCTACTCATTATCCTACATCGTTTGAGAGTGAGCCATTCTTCAGATCTGCAAGGAAGCCGAACCTCTGAGATCTCTCGAACTCGAACCTACGGCAAACACTACCTTGGAAACGAAGGCTTTTGCCTTGTTGTATACGTCCTAGTATTCTCCAAGGTGCACTTTATCTCGTGTCAGTAAATGTCTTTGGTTTCAAGCGCGTGTGAGCGATCGATAGGTGCCATGCCCAGAAGACAGCAACGCACCAGAAGAAGAAGAATTGGCAGCTTCTACGCTGACCAGCAGTGATCCATCAAGATCTCCAACGATATCGTCGAAAAGCGATCTAACGCAAGGAACGGCGCTTCACTATTCTCCTCCGGGACCACGCTGAGTTCGCCGTTCACGCCTCGCACTGCTATGCTGCTATTTACTCATCTGTTCGAGTTCCCGGGCATCGCGGTTTCCTCTTTTCGTGTGCTGCATTTGGGACGGCCCTCTTAAACGAGGGCAGGTAGTTCAAGGGCATAGATCAATATTCTAATGCAGTCTTCTTCTCTTCAGAATTGATGATGCTTAGGTGGATGCGACGGAGATGGTTAAACGTAGTGAGAAAGCGAAGCATTCATGCCAAGCAGGGGCACTGGCCAGGCATTTAGGGCTTGCGGAACCTTCGGTTACGTGGCCCCTTGTTTCACACACGCGACGCCGCTCGTTATTCTGGTTGTCATATTGTTCTGTAGCGCTGCCTTCCTGCCTTCTTGATTGAGGCAGATCTTCTACGATTTTTGTTAAAGTCGGTCCCAAAAACGTAGAAGACGCTTAGGAGAAGCTGGTAAGGACCGCATTCTGGTCTCCGATCCGGTTCTCGTATTACTACCGGCGCAGCTTGAGCACACCAATACCACGGAACCCGCGTAGCCCCGCACGAGACCGCCGTGCTGTATCGATACTGTATACCTTACGATATGCGGCAAATGCTAGTTGGTAGGCGCTTCGCTCGGCTACCCCTTGGGCAGCACCTGCCTGTACGGTACTTAATAACTCTATACAGGCATAACCTGCTTCGCCTATTAGATAAAACAGCATTCGCAAATATCAATTTCTTCTATTTTCGGCTACTAAGGGTCTGAACTAATTGCAGTAGACGGATTTCGCTACACCTTTAATACTACTCTAGGTGCCGCTTTAGAGGCAGGCCTAATCGGGACTCTTAGCTTCCTATTCGAGTACTGTTCGCTAAGCTAGAGCGGCCGCTCTAAACTTCTAATACGTTAAAATACTTATAGTTTAGTATAATTTAAGCATAACTTAGTCTTTTAATACGACGTATTATAGAGAGGCGTAGAGAGACTATTATTAGCAGAGGCTATGCGTTCTAGTATAGCAACGGTACAAATTATATAAAATTTCTACTACGCTTAACTATATTCGGATCTTAGCGGCTTAATTAGGGACTAGAGCGGCACCTATCGAGTTAGAAGGGTATAGCGAAATCTGTCTAGTCTCGGCTTAAGCGTTAAAAGCGTAAGATAGTAGCCCTCTAATAATCCGATCGCTATAAATTTATTCTAGCGAAGCGAAGGGCACCTAGAGCAACTTAAGGAGCTTACGACGAAAGTTGTAGAAGGTATTCGGAGCGTAGTATATAGAACAGTTAGACTTGCTACCTTAGGTTAAGTTTAGAAGGGGGTCGCTAAGGAAGATACGTCTATACAAATCTAGTCCTACGAGCTAATTAGTCAAAATTCGAGAAGTTATTACGTACTAGAAGCCTTAGGCTAGAACTTTATTACTTCCTACCTTCCGTACGAGGGACCGATTAAAGATAGTCGCTAGTAGACGAGCGATCTAACTTAATATAACTAATATATTTAGAAGAAGGACTAATCTATCTAGAAGTCCGAAGATAAAGTATAGCAGTTGCAGCCTTAGGCATTAGGCACGTAATAGACCCTAACACCTAGGTATATACTCTAAGTTACCCTCTTAGTACGTATATATCGCTATAGAATAACAAACAATATAATAGCTATTCTATTAGCAAAGCAAATAAGGGGTATTAGGTAAGCAGAAACAGGTAAACAAACTAGACCACTCTTAGGTTATATAGACAAAGCAAACAAAGGCCCTTTCTTCTTAGTACTTAGTAGCTAGCTTTGTAGCGCTCGCAATAGCGGCCTTGCAATCTACTAGGTTTAGTTGTTTAACAAAGCGGCCGTACTTAATCTTATTAAGCGGCTTAGTAAAGCTATCGGCTATCTAATTATATATACTAACCTATTAGACGATAATAGAACTATTAGCAATCTTCTCTCGAATATAGTAAATACGAGCATCTATATGCTTCGTACGGCTATTAATAGTAGTCGATTTAGTAATAGCAATAGCGGACTAATTGTCCTCGTAGAGTGTTACTAGGAGAATATAGCCCTTGTAGCTAATCTCCTTTAATAAGCGAGCTAAGGCAACTGCTTCCTTAGCCCCTATAGTAAGTTGAATATACTTAGCTTTAGTTAATAATAGTGTAACGAGTATCTAGCGGCCGGACTTATACAATAGAGGTCCGCCTACAATAGTAAAGTAGAAGCTGCCTATAGAGCGACGAGTAACTAGATTATTAGCCTATAAGGCGTTATAGTAACTAGCGAACTTGAGGTCGTCTTCCGTTATAGAAACTTTTTTACCGATCGCGATGATCCTATCGATAGGATCGCTTAGGATCCTTAGGATCGTACGTTAAAGATCTTGTCTAATAGGATCGTCGCGGTTTAGAAATTCTAGCAAATCTGTTCGTAGTAAGAATTTTATTCTTTACCGTCCGACTCGTATATCGAGTCGGGCTCGAGTCGTCGTATATACTAGTACTAGCATTTGAATTACATTTTCTATCGGATCTGTATATTATACGATTGTTGCTTCTACTAATATCTAACGTTTATACGTATACTCGGGTAACTACTAGCATTTGCATACGTCTACTACGTATACTAAGTTAGTACCGACTTAGCGACCGACTCGTATAGTATTAACAGATTTCGTTATATTATATAGGGCATCTATTTATTATAGTTAATAAGAATGTATTCTATTCGTCCTCTATAGCTATATTAAAGCGATATACCTCTACTTTCTTTCGTTTGTTTCCTTTCGACTTCTTCTTCTCTTTTACTATATATCTTCTAATTCTTCGATCCTACGTCTCCTCGTTAAATGCTATCTCTTTAACTTTGCCGCCGTCTGCCTCTATATCCGCCTACTATATCTACTCCCCCAAAATGGTAGCGAATAATTAGAGACGAAGGGAGGATAGTTAAGAAGGAAGGGAGGACGAATAGAAAGCACTATATACTAGGGCAGAGGAGGTACTAAAGGCGGAAGATAGAAGAACCCCTAAGAGGGTATATAGGATAATAATCTTAGAACTCCTTAGAGGACTAAAAGCAATCTACAACTAGGCAAGCTACGTAATTACAAAGGTAGCTAATACAGTTGCAGTAAAGATTACGAAGAAATAATAGGAGATAAGCCTAAACTACCGTACCTAGGTAGTAGTAGCTAGTTAGGAGGCGCTAAAACCCCCGAGGACAGTAGTTAGAGTCTATATTACGGACCTATAGGAGTAAAAGGAAATCTAAGGACTTATAGGGAAAGAGATTGTAGAAAGAATTGCAGTTAAAGAGGTAATTAAGGCTAAGAACGAAGGTAAAGGGGTAATTAAGCTATTTATAGCATAAGAGCAAGACAAAAAGAAGCTAGAAATACAAAAAGAATGGACAACTAAGATAGGGAAAACAGCAAAGGTCTCCTAACAGCAATTTATAATTATAGCCTATAGTATAATAAGAAGCTTTAAGGAAGAATAGGATATTAAGAGCCTATAGAGACAAAACCAAGCTACATGCCTAGGCCTAAAGATTACAAAAGTAGTATAGATTAAAAGGAAAATCGAAGAGACTAAGAAGCAGTCTTCCCTAATTATCTAGGTAGGGAGTGTAGAGCAAGCTAATATAGTGCTAGACTAGGGGTTGTTCTAGGACTTTAAAAGATTAGAAACAGAGATATATAGAAGCAACTATAGGATAATATAGTGCTTCAAATGTTAATACTATAGACACTTAGCAGCTAAGTGTATAAAGACAACTAATACCTGCTCCTATTGTATAGGGGATTACTAGGTTAAAGAATGCAAAGCATATAAGGGAGAAGTAAGATGTATATGCTATACTAAAAGACACCCCTCTTAGGCGAAGGAATGCCTAGTAAGAATACAGGCAGCTAGGAAGGCAAAGGAAGCTAGAATTAATATACTAAAAAGATATACAATAAGCTAGGGCAGCTAGGTACAGAAGCAACCTAGCTAAGTGTTACAAAAGAGGTCTAGATAAGATAATGGGTTTATATTTAGGGCCTTACTAGTACAAGAGAGTTACTAGCAACTAGGGAGACTAAGATACCTTAACATTGCAGGAAAGGAAGCAGGGCAGACAAAGCTTAGTCAAATATTGGTCTAAAGTAAGGGAAGACTAAAGGAAAACTTATAGGGAAATAATATAGATAAAACCTAATAAACATTGCAACATTACTAAACATTATATAGTACAATATTAATAAGAGTAAAGACAAGGTATAGAGGAGCTTCCTTTAAGCACTAAACCTAAAAGAACATTACATTATTGCAATCTAAGAGCCCTAGCTCAACCTATATACAAAGAGACTAGCAATAGTTAAAGACCTAAGATACTACCTAATTATCTACAACTAGGGAGCCCTAAGGATATGCATCTACATTAGCAAGGAGATAGATATAGAAACCTAGCAGGCTATACTATAGGAGGATAGGGACCTAATATTAGTTTAAATAGAGACATCCTAAGGTACACTCCAAGTCCACTATATATATAACCTACTACTAGACTTAAGAAGCAGTACCTAACTAAAAACCCTAGAAAGACTACCTAGAGTTATCTAGGGGAACACCTACTAAATCCTACTTAGGGATTTCAACCTCTACTACCCCCTCTAGGGCTTAGACTTTACCCTAGCTTACTACTTCCTAGTAGGAAGACTAATTAACATATTAGAGAGGGAAGGAATAGAAATTGTTACCCTAAAGGGACTAATTACCTAGGAGGCAAGAGGAAGCAGTAGCATACTAGACCTATACTTTGCATTATATTAGATTAGGAATAGGATTATAAGATGCAGGGTCAACTAGGAACTAGAAGAATTATCAGACTACTTCCCGGTATAGATTGAGCTAAATATCTAAGCCAATTAGGAAAGGGAACTAAAGGAGAAGCTTAACTAGAAAGGTGCCTAATAGGGTAGGATTAGGGAGGAACTAGAAAGGGACCCAAAACTAGAGGAACTCTTAACAAAGTACCTACTAAGGCTAGAGGACATTAATAAGGCAGTAGAAGAACTAATAGGAATCCTGAAATAGGTAGCTAAAAAGTATACCCTAGCAAAGAAACATTCACTATACTAGCAACTATACTAGACTAGTAAGTGTATAAGGAAGGTTAAAGTAGCAAGGAAGGCTAGGAGGCAGTAGACACAAACCTACACCTAGGAAGCATAGGACAACTACAATAAAGCCTACTAGGAAAAGAAGATCTAGATTAAGAAAGACAAGATACAAGAATAGAGATCTATAATAGGAATAATTACAAAGAAACTAGAGGAGATATAGAGGATAGCCAAATAGGTAAGGAGACCTAAATAGGATAAGGATATGCTACTACAATTCCCGGACATTATAGACTAATAAGGACAAATGTAGACTACAATAGAAGGGAAAGTAAGAGCCCTAGGCTAACACTTCTTCTATAGAAAAGTATAAGCAGACCTATTAGATATAAAGGAGAAAGAATAAGAGACTCTACTGCTAGGTATACTAAGAGACACCTAGGTTAAACCCGAAACCATTAAAAGGATCCTAAAAAAAATTCTAGGCAATAAGGCACTAGGAGAAGACAAGATCTATAACAAACTTCTAAAAGTATACAGGAAGGGGCTAGCCCTAGCACTAGCCAATATCTTTTTACAAAGCCTAGTACTAGGACACTACCTAAGACTATTTAGGAAGTCCCTAATAGTAGTGCTAAGGAAGCCCTAGAAGGAAGACTATATACAGCTTAAGGCCTACAGACTAATAGCCCTACTTAATACAATAGGTAAGGTACTAGAAAAAATTGTCGCTAAAAGGCTAACAACCTTTACCGAGGAAAGGAACATCCTTCTTAAAGGCTAGATAGGAGGAAGAAAGAAGAGGTTAATACTAACAGCTATAGAACTAATTATAGAATAGATTAAGCATATCTAGTACTATAGTTAAAACTAGGTAGCAACCCTCCTCTCCCTTAACATCTTAGGAGCCTTTAACAATGTCTCCTATAAAAGGCTCCTATATATACTTAAACAGAAAGCTATACTAAACTAGATAGTCTAATTTATCTAGTCCTTTTTGTAGGAAAGATTAATACAACTTATTCTAGGTAAATTCAAATCAGACCTAATACTAACTAAAAGGGGAATCCCCTAAGGATTAATACTCTCCCTAATCCTCTTCCTTATCTTTATAGTAGACCTACTCCCACTCCTAGAATTAAAAAACATATTAGTATTAGGGTTTGTAGATAACACAAACATCCTAACCTAGTCTAAGACAATAGAAACAAACTGTAAGATCCTAGAAGAGAAGCATTAGGAATATAAGAAATAGGCAAGGAGGTATAGAGCAAAATTCGCCCTAGAAAAGTACTAGCTTATCTACTTTAGCAAGGCCAAATCAACCTATAATATAAAGCAATCAATCACTATCTAAGGCTTTAAAACCTAACTATTAGCAGAGCTTAGAGTACTAGGGATCTAGCTAGATCCAAAACTAAATTAGGGACTATAAGTAAAGAAGGCAAAGTAGAGGGCAGATGCTAATATGCAATCTATTAATAGGCTTATAGCCTCTATATAGGGGGCTACGTTCGAGAAAGCTAAAGTTATATACAAAGCAATTGTTAAGCTAGCAATACTATATAGAGTACAGATATAGATAGCCTAGGAGAAAACACTAAAGAGGATTAAGCAACTAGTTAGCAGGTCCTAAACCTAAAGCCTAAAGAAAATCCTAGGAGTATATAAAACTATACTAATAAGGGTAGTAGAAATGGAATTAGGGATCCTACTAGTTAAACAATACTTCAAGGGACTAAGACACTAATATACAGTAAAGACAATAGAATACCTAGCCTAACAGACTATCTAAAAGGCACTAGATAAGATAAAAACCTAGTACATTAGGACTAGGAGGCGAGACAGACTACAAATAACTCCCTAGAAAGTCAAAGACCTAGAGCAATATAGAGTCTTAATAAGAGAAATGCTAGAGAAAGAGCTTTAGGGACTAAACGCAAGGCTAAAGGAAGACAAGCTAAAGGGAGAGAAACAAAGCCTAGCAGAATTAATTGCTAGATACCTATAGGAGCAGGAATAGAACAAAACACAAGTTAGACCGGGAACCCTAAAGGCACTAATCAAATTTGGTTAACACAACTACTAGCTCTATAAGGACCTAAACAGGGCCGAGGCAAGCCTAGCTATCTAAATTAGATCTAAACATATTAGACTCAGATCTTACCTATTTAGAAGAAACGTCCTAGGAATTAAAAGTAGAGCTTACTAATATAGCTACCAATCTCAGAACCCTAAGTATATACTACTAGTCTGCCCTTAATAGTTAGAAGGCAGAAGTGATTAGAGACTAAAAGCAATAGAAAGGGAATACGATAAGCTAATCTAGAGTAAAGAAGACCTAAAGAGGATAGTAAAGTAGATTATTAAACAGGGATTTGTACAACAATTCGTACTAGTAAGGGAAACTAAGGAGTAGATAAGAAGGAGGGAAGAAGAGGAGGAAAGAAGGGTAAGGCAGTAGGCAAGGTAGTTAGAGGGTAACAACTATAACACTAGTATACCCTAGAGGAAGGAAAACAAGGAAACGAGGAAGATCAATACTTATAAATAGGATAGGAGGGAGGTTTTTACTAACTAAGCTGGTTTCCTACCTAAAACAATACATAGAAACAGACCTACATAGGCCGAAAGGCACTACAATAGGCAAATGAAATATCTATCTATCTATCTATATCTACTCCCCCTCTTCTAGCCCTAATATATCCCTAACGCGATTACTTACCGCCGCGAATAAAGTCTTATCTATTATATAAGACTAGTCGGAATACCTACTGTTCTTATAGTAATTAGCGCGTAATCCTTCCCTATTACTATTACCGCGGTATATCTATACCTTTAGTATTAATTGTCTTTAGTTCTATTGTATTCTATTGTCTCGGTTACACTTATGCCGTTGCCTCCCCGTACCGAAGCAAACGGATTAGTAGCCCCCGTCGGCTTCTAATCTATCGCTTAGAAACTGCTCTATAGTATAGGTAGTCTAACATCGTTTTTCTTAGATAGGGCCTCCGCCTCCGCTAACCTATCTATCGTATTATCGCCGGCTTTGAGTTATTTACTTAATTGTTGCCCGGTAGACGCTTTAGGACCTATCGATTATATTAGCAGATAAGAGAAATACGGCGCTCGTAGACTACTCTTACTATAGCGCTCGATCGATCCGCCTTTATCGTTAGAATCTAAAACGACGTCGATTGCTATAAGTATATCGATGTCGTTACGTACGCTCTCGAAGTTATTTATTAATAATTTAGGGATATCCTATACTCTGCCTATATACCGTATATATATCTTCTACGCTTTCGATAACCGAAGGTTACGAGTAGCTTAATCCGTCGCATTCTACGTAGTTATCCGATCTAGGAACGGCTAGTGCATTAACTTGTAATCTAGGGCTAGCTAGATCGCTTTACCTCTAACTTTAGTTAAATGCGACTCTATCGACTATCTAGTTAGTATTCTACCGAGTACCGTAGCGGTAGACAATATTATAAAAGGGGTGACTTTGTAGTAGTACTGTTTAATATGTATCTTCTAGCCTCGCCGATCCTACCGGAGTAGTATACCTGCTAGACATTTGTATATAAGCTTACTAAGGTAGCGCGTAGTATATATCGACCGTTAGCTATTATCTAGTAACTATACTATTTTAGAGAGGGTCTTACTAGTTTCTCGTCGTAGCACTCGAAGATTTAGTTATCGAGCATCCTCTTAGCGTATACTATCCTTTTTAGAGTGTCGGTTATTGCGATCGGTACTTAGTTTATTAAGGTCAATCGGATATAGGTATTAATATAGCCTCGCTCCTTTCGTATAGCTTCTCGCAACTATTCTAATATTAGTCTCGATACTATTATATCGGGATCTCTACCGACTGCTTAGACTACGTCTCTCGACGGTATATAGCTACCTAGCTATAGCACTATTATACGTAAAGCTAGTAATCGATTATAGTTTTTACTATATACCTCCTTAATTGTTTCGTCTACCTATACTAGGGTTTAGGTAGTAGGAAACATCGTCTTACATCCTCGGGCCCTAGTTAACGTAATAGCGAATAGTTTACGACGCGTCTCGTTATATAAGATTTGCTCCCTTACTTCGAGTAAGCCCTTCTTTCGATTTAAACGTTCTTTACTAGAAGTCGTTAAGCCTTTGTCTCGCTTCTTACGTCGTTTTAATAGCTTTGTATCGTCGCTCTAATCCGCCCTATCGTCGCTATACTTCCGTTTTAGCCTTACCGGATCTTTGCTATTCTTGCCCTTATACTAGTTACGTTAGTCCTCTATTACCGTGCTCTAGCATACGTTACCTTTATAAATTTCGATCTAATGCTAGTCGCTATATATAAACGAGTATCCTCTCTGTTTTCTTCTTCGAATCTAGTATCCCTATCCGACTCTATCGAGTTAGATAACGACTTAGTTCTGTATTTATCTTCTTCGTAGTTGCGACCTATCCTAAGTGTACTATAACGAGTAGTAGTATTGTTACGAATCTAATATAGTATATATTAGACTATACGCGTCTTCGTACTTGTTTACTCTACGAAAAGGGGGGCATTAAATTGCGGTTTCATCTTCTGCTCCTATATAGACTGCCCGAGTCGCCGTCTATAATCGCTTATTAGTCCTATCGGATATGCCCCGCTAACGCTAAAGTATAATCGTAGCCTATAGACTGTTCGCTATTTTCGTACCTTGTCGACGCTAGCCTAATTCGGTCGCGAGTCGGATTCGGGAACTATTAATCTAGCGCTATTATTAGTCTAGCGGTAATTATTGCAGTCTATACCGACGGTATATAGCAACACTATCGACATTGTACTAAAGCAATCGGCGCATTTAGACTATTTATTCCTCGCTCGGTCGCTACTATAGTATATATAGATATATGTTCTTTATCGGTAAATCAATCGGCGTTAGCTAATCCGCTAGGTCGAATATATACCTTCGAAGCCGCCTCGTAGTATTACGGGTTAGTTAGAACTATCTCTATTAGCGTGTTTAGCTAATTCGAGGTTAATAATACCGTAGAGGCCCTATACTCGATAGATGCAATTCTAACTAGATTAGCTAGAGGCATATAATCTACCCTAGTACGACGACTGCTAGTCGTAGCCGATTTAGCCTTTCCTTAACTATCGCGCTACCCCGAGTCCGCTATCGCTATAGCGCGATTAGGGTACTCAAATATAGGCCGAGATTAAATAGATAAAGGAAGAGATCGCGGCGCTTAAGACTGCTATACGTAATATACTTACTATATATTAGCATATATCTAAGATTAAAGCGTAGTACTTATCGTAGTCGGGGCATCTTGCCTTCCGTTTAATAAATAGATTAGTGCCTATTACTATTAGAGTAGGACTTCTATATCGGACTTAGTAAAATTAATTATTTATCTTGCTTTTCTGCGTTTATATTTACGCTCGTTCTGCCTCCTTAATTTGCCTATAGATTGCAAATCGCAGCTATAGGCCTCTGCCTAATATGTCGGATAGACTAGCCCTCTACTATCGCTCGTTGTTAATTCGAACGTGTCTATATTAGTCGCTTATCTAATGCAAGGCGTCGACGCCGGCTTCGAAACTACAATCTACCCGTAGTATCTTAACTAATCGTTCGAGGTCTATATTATCGACTTCTACTAACGCGCGGCCTCTAACTATAGGCTAGCGATAATCGAGTTTATATAGTCGATATATAGGTTTTACCTTCCCGTTCTGCTCTTATACTATAACTATGCTCTGCTATACATTATTTAGTACGCGGTACGGCGGCACCGCTCTAGATCCTTCTAGTATCGCTAGTCTAGTATCCGTCGATATAGCAATTTCCGCGTAATCGCTAGTATCGCCGACTCTACGCGTTGTTACGCGTACCGTTTTTCGTCTCGTCCGTCGGCGATAATTAGAACAAATCTTGTATACTAGGCACCTAAACGCAGTCTGTCCCTCTACCGTACGGATCTGCTTTACTACCTTAGGGAACTCTTCTTCGTATTTCTCGTCTGTTAATACTAGGTCGCATAGGTAACCTTGCGTCCTTCGGCGTTCCGGCAATAATAGTAATCGGAACGTACTACTAATCTAACTAGACTCCTAAATTAACCTCTCGACGCTAGCGTAAAATGCGTAGTATATCGACGGCGATAGGCTAAGGCCGCGGGTAATACTACCTATTAAATATTGATCGCGAGGTAGTTAAGTACGTAGCATTCTCGAAGGCGGTAGTTATATATATAGCGTAGTAGAAAGTCGACGTTAGTTAGTAGTAGAAACTAGAACTACTCTAGTCGCGGGGTTTGCTAATACCGACTCGGGCCCTAATTCGGTATCGAATCGGGTACTAAGCCTACTAGGCAACTTCTATATCCTCTATTACTAACTTCGGTAGCGGGTTCGGCAAATTACGTTATCTATTATCTCGCTTCTTAACCTTACGCCTAGTATATTATATTGCCGCGGATTTATATATAGTCGTTTATTCGGCCTCCTACTTAGACTACTACTCTAGTATACGATCTATAGAATATTTCGATCGTTTTATACCTTTGTTTACTACTCGTTATAGCTAAATACATGCCTTTTTACCGCCGATAGAGTTAGTAGTATCTATAGAAAACATACTATCTTGATCGTTAGCTCGAACTATCTATATACCCTACTCTCGGGTCCTAAGACTAACCGCCTTACTAGCCTATACCCTCGTACTATAGCGGGTCTAGTCTACTCGCTATCGTATAATAATTGTTAGTTACTATAAGGACATAGATCGGTTAATTTAGCTATATTGCGTAGCTTATAAGCACTCGCGTCTCGCGCCGGCGATCGCAGTCGCAACTCTACTATAAATAGGCTTATATTTACATTACTAACTTTCGATTACTTGTTACGTAGTACTATATTTACTGCGACTTGTTAGTCCTATATCTAGAACCGTCTATCGTATAGGGGTTTATACTATAACGATTATCTGTAGCCTTATTACTTCGGTTACTAGTTGCGTAACTAAACTATTATATACTTAAGCGCTAGATGCCTCACTTCGTCGATTTATTAGCTAGTTAGGCCCGACTCGCTAACCGACCCGGTTATAAGGTAGGCATTTAAGGTCGTTACCTTTCCTTATTACTGCCTTCTTTAATATTTACTATTAACTCGCACTAATATACCTGTTCTATATATATGCATCCCCTTACTCTCCCTATTATACGTATAGTATATTATTTCCTTCGCTAATGCCCTATTCTAACTCGTATATAGGCCGTACTATATAACTTAGCCGTCGTGCTCGACTAGCGTTAAGCTAGTATATATAGACACTCGTTGCATAACGCAACTCTAACGGCTCGCGTTAGGGTCGGCGGGTATAAGTAGCTCTTTGCTCCTATTCTTACCTCCACCGACCCTAACGTATAGCGAATTTTACTAATTCTATTAGTTTATCTGCTACTCTCGGATAGTGTACGTCGTTGTCGATCTATAGTCCCTAACCTCTATTATATAAGTATTACTAATTAGTATAACCTATTATATACTAATGCTATATACTAGTTATAAACTCGTCGCCTACTGCCTTTACCGAGATAGTAGTCTCTATAAATATCGAGGACTAGCTAAAGGACAACGAGCTACTAATCAAAGCCTTAAATAGTAGTAAAGACGTCCCTAAATATATTATACTAAACCTATATAGCATCGACAAGCCTCTTCTTACGTTAGCAATAAAAAGGCTCCTTCCGTATCTAGAGAAACATTTTTCATTTAACTAGTTAAAGGGGAAGTAGAGTCGCTAGCCCGTTAAGGGGCATTATAAGGAGGAGAAAGCTATAGTATACGCTATTGCTAGCAACCTCAACTATCCTACTAAACCTAGACATACGCTATTAATGCCCGAATAGTACTTTAAAGATCCTAAATAGGCTCCGAAGTAGTACGTTAGGGGAATGCTTCCGTAGGACAATACAAATAGTCCGAATAATGAAATTTAGAGGTCTGTAGTCTACTTAGTATACCGCCTTATATAGAAGGTTATAAGGGACAAGTTTACCCCGCCGGCCGGTAATAATGCTAAAGAGGAAGACGTATCCGAGAGCGAGACTAATAGATCCCGATAAACTACGCCCTCTATACCTAAGCGTAGAGCAAGTTCTGCCTCTACTAGTAAGACTAGCAGAGCCGGTCGGGTGTTTAAGAGAATAACGCTAGGAGATTCGTACGGTAGTAAGGATACTAATCTAGTAATGTCCGACGCGCTACGCCCTATTAAGCCGGACCGGGCTAAGATTACGTTATAGTTTAGTATTGTCGACTAGCGGTTACCTTTAACGGCAGACTACGACGTGTTTAGCCTAAATTAGTCTGTCCTATAATCGAAGACTTCTAATAATATTAGTATAAAGGATTTGTTACGGCTCTAGCTCGTACGAGAGTTATTGCTATCGCCCGAATAGTAGAAGTACGAATTCTTCGTAGTAATCGATCTAGCTCGCGGCCCTAAAGGTCTTTCTAAATGCAAGACTAATCCGATATTCTACTCCCTAGCTATAGAGATATATAATAGCTTAGATACTAGGATTTCTACTAGACTCGATTTCCTCGTCGGCAAAAATATAACGGACTGTACTAGGATACCTTCTATATATCGTCGACCGTCCCTACTTAAGGCTTCTAGAACTATCGACCTAGCTTAGTACGGTACTTCTATAGCCGGTAATCCTACCGAAATTAATATCGGTTAGGGTCCGTAGTCGCCTACGAAATCGGCTATTAAGTAAGCTAAGGACGACCGACTCGCTCGTAAGGATCGCGCCGATCGCGAGCGCTATAAATAGCTTATCGCAGATAGATTCTAGAGGATATATAAAGAGTAGGAGGTAGCTTAGTAGGTAGCCGCGCGAAAAGCTATAGCCGACGTCGCCGCGGATATAATAGCGATTTAGTAGGCTATCGACAAGGCAGTTAAGGAGGTACTCCGCGATAACGGTTATAATAGGAATACTGCTTTACTTCTAGTCGCCCTCGACGATTCGGTTCGAACGGCCGTCCGTTCCGTATAGCCCGATACGATAGAGTATACGGTAAAGGCCTATATTGCTTCTACTCTGCCTAAGATATAGCACGCTTTAAATAGACTAGCACTATCCCTAGTACAACCTCCGGCGTAGACAAATGCTAGTAATAATGCTAAGGATAATAGAAAAATTAAATCGAGCAAAGCCGATAATGCTAATAGTAAGAAGGCCGGAGATATAATCGATTCGAAGCGAGATCGAATTCGCTAGAAATAGATCGAGTCGTTACCGAGTTAGATCGTATCGCTACTAGATCCGAATAAGCCTAAACTCGCCGTACGACTACCGGGTACGCAAGTAGAAGTCTAAGCCGACCCTCTACCGATCTAGACGTTAGTAGATTTTGTCGACTAGATCTCGTCGGCGATACCTAGCTAGTCGATAGATTTAGATATAGAAACCGACGTCGAGAAGCAGTTGTCTAGTAACGTATACTCCTATCTCGACGCTAAGAACTTTAAGTTAATATGCGATTTTAGACTACTCGATCCCTTTCAGACTTCGCCGTATATAGGCGTTATTCCGCCTAATTAGAGATCGACTCGTCCGTTAAAGTCTTACTAATTCTATATAATTACCTAGACGCTTCTAGCTTCCGTTGCTAGCGCAGACTTCTATATCGGCGGTATAGACGTAGGTATAGGCAAGACGGTATATACGTTAGGGTACGTCGCTATAATCTCGATATAGTAGAGGGTATAGAGTAATAACGGGCTATTAACTGCTAACGCCTATCCCTTTCGGCTATCTAATTCGTCGGTTAACCTAGGACTTCGGCTAAATAAGAAAATTGCGTTCGATCCGTAGGTATTAGCTAGCGGTATAAAGCCGGTTATCCGCCCTAGCGTTTACGTTGTCTATATTCCGAAGCAGCTAGCCGAAAACTAGATATATAAGATCGACAACTTTATACTACCCGGAGCTATGTTCGTATATCTTATAAAAGACTCTAGTAAGCTAACGAAAGATAAGAGACGTAATAGAGCTAGTCCGTAGAACTATAACTAGGTCGTATATATCGAGGACGTTCTTTATCTCGATTATATAGCGCTCCCGACTCGGCTAGAACTAGAATAGGTATTCGGTACAAAGATTGTAGATAAGTAGTAGTTTAAAAAAGGCGTCCCGGTATGCTTATTACTTAAACACGAGGATATAGAAGTACCCCCTTATTTATAGTACTATAAATAGATCGTCCTTACTACCTCGACTATAATATCTAACGTACTAGATTTTATAACGTACGAACGAGCTAAGAAATAGAAGTCCTAGATACGGTCGGAGAAATCTAATTCGAAACCGCCGCTACTTCGTATACTAGCTACGACTATTATCGTCGACGAGTTTTATATTACTAAGATATATAGCGCTAAAGAGTAGACTGCCGTCGCTAGTCTTATAGGCTATCCTTTC